ATTAATTCACCAGTTGACACTTTTTTTTGGAGATCAGCAAAATGGGATAAAATGCTTAGTTTTCAGGCTTTTATGTAAAAAAATAACAAGGATTCTGTCAACAAGGGCTCTAAATTACCCATGAAAGAAAGCTGAGGATCAGGTTTATGAAGGTAGTGGGAGTCCAGAGGAGAAGTAAATGAGGAATTCAGCACAGTAAATTCCTTAGTTCCTCCACCAGTCCTGAAGCCCACTGGACCCTCCCTTACCTGAAGAAGAGCCACGTGCAGTCAGTCGTTCCAGGCACGCCTGCAATGCTCTGTCCGTCATGGTAATGCCTTCCCGTAATTAATGAGCACCTGCAGAGATGGTACCTGCCTCTGAGACTCAACAGGGCACCCGTGTGGCCAGGGAGCAGAGCAGGCAAGGACAGGGTCACTCCCCTTGCTGCAATATTCCATGGGAGAACTGAATCCTCAGTTGGCACATGCTGCTTTGCAGTATTTGATGGAAGGGGAGGAGGCAATAGGACACTGTGCCATTGGCAGGTGCATCCTCTCAAGGGGGAGAAATAAGAAGAGGGGAGAAGCCCTCCAGGGAAATTGGGGTGTTCATTGCAGAGAAGAGACACTGGAAAGAGGAGTGCCCAAAATTGTAGGAGATGAACGAAACCAAAGACAGATGGTCTCCCAAGTTCAAAACTCAGACAGTAAGTGATGCAGCCCAGGGGCTCCCTTGATGATATCAGCTTCTAGATGTCTCCCCAACAAGGTCCCCACCTGCGTGCAACTGACAGCAAGGAATCAATTATTTGAGTTTTTGATAGATATCAGAGCTACTTACTCAGTACTTAATTCAAAACTGAGTAAAGGCAGTGGCAATTGTGTGGCCTCGTGGACTACAACAGACAGTCTCAACAGGGGTCATTTCTGCTGCCGCTGGAATGTCATTTGAGGGAAGAAAAACCAAAGCGCTGTTTTCTGTAAATGACTGATTGTCCCATTCTGTTGCTGGGTTGAAACTTGGTCTGCAAACTAAATGTTTAGATAGATTTCTCCTCAGGGTTACAGCAGCTACACCTACGAGTATGGGCTGAACTCTCCTCCATTTCCAGTCACTTTCCACTCAAAAGGAAAACATAGAATGAGTGCTTCCCCCAGAGACCTGTGAGAACCTGAATTAAATTCTGTGAGTGAATGGGATCTCTGGAATGTCCTCAAATGCAATACCTGTGCATGTCTGATTGATAAACAAAGTCTCGTCATCCTCAGAAAATAAAGTAGTCTTTAAAGGAAGTAGCACCACTTTATATAAAATGATTTCCTCAAGTACATTTTAATATGCCCATATCAGTCCCCCCACAATATACAAATTATCTCAGGAAAGAAACCCTGAACCAGTGAAAATTGATTTGTACGAGATCTGTAAGCAATTGATGGCATTGCACAAGATGTCCATATACTGTATGCAACCCCTTTAGCAGATGGGGCTCAGTGTTGGACTTGAAAGATGCTGCTATTCTGCAATCCCTTAGAATAACAATTGTTATTCACCTTAGAATGGCAAGAATCTAAGATTAATAGCATCACCCAAATGCAATCAGAGGATTGTGTTACTACAGAAATATAAAATTCACCTACCCTATTTAGCGAAGTTATTGCAAGAGACTTAAGATGCTTATGATTCTATTAGGGGACCCTCCTCCAATATGCAGATGATTTATTGATAGCTCATCTTGATTATGACCATTGCCTAGCCAATACCATCCAGACACTAGTTCATTTGGTATAGGATTGGTTTAAGTGCTCCGTTGAAATGCCCACGTATGTCAACAACAGGCTACTTATTTGGATTTTCAGTTGTGACAGGGAACTCATAGCTTGATGACTGATAGAATTATCATAAAGAATATTAAGACACTGCACTTGCAGACAACTCCTGGGAGTGCTGTTAATTCAAAGGATTGTGCTCAAACATGGATTGTAACATTTTCAGTAACTACTAGGGATTCATGTGGAGAACACCAAATTATCTTTGCTGTCTTCATGAAGGAAATTTGTATCTCATTCTAATAATTAATTTTTAATTTCAGGCAGTGACATGACTTTTTTTCTACCTTCCTGGTTTTTCATTAGCCTGTTAACAACACAGGCATGATAATGGTATCTTTTGTATTTTTGCTCATGTATGTCTATTGCTTGGTTATCAGAAATGGTAAAAGCATAAATGATTTTACTTCATAAATTAACTAAAAAAGGTAGCCATTTCAATCAGGCAAAGATAAAGAATGTAAACAATCAACTCTATTTCCCCTTTGGTTACTTGACTAAGCAGCAGGAATTTTAGTAAAATTATAAAACCTTTTAGAGGCCGGTACTGTAATGTAGCAGGTTAAGCCACTCCCTGCAGTGCTGTCATCCCATATGGGTGAAGGTTCTGATCCTGGCTGCTCCACTACTGATCAAGCTCCCTGCTAATGTGCCTGGGAAGGCAGCAGAAGATGGCCCAAGTCCTTGGGCCTTTGCACCCACATGGGAGACTTGGAAGAAGGTCCTGGCTTCTGGCTTTGGCCTGTCCCAGCCATTTGGGAAGTGAACCAGCAGATGGAAGATTTCTCTCTCTCTTTCTCCCTCTCTCTCTCTCTTTCTCTCATCTTTCTCTTTCTCTTCCCCTCCTCTTCCCTCCCTCTTTTTCTCTCTCTGCCTCTTCCTCTGTGTAACTGCCTTTCAAATAAATAAGTAATTAAAAAAAAACCTTTTAGTACTTATTTATGTTTCAGTAATATGTATTAATTTCCAAAATGTATTCAGGTCATTATACTTTCAAAGTGACACAATAGATCCTAAAATTAATTTCCATCAATTTTCCTATGATTTAGCAATACATGGAAAGAATGCAGACCTTTAGGTATAAAGAAACATTCAAATAAGTATAGTACACAACATAGATCAAACCAAAAAAAATAATAAAGAATTCTGTAAAAATTTAGTTGAAATAAGAAACTACACTATTTGAATTTAGATTTCATTCTGTTATTTATTGTTCACTCAAGTATTTTCTTGAAAAATATGCACCAAAAGTTTGAAAATAAGTATAAAAAATAAATACTTAAAACATCATTCTCATCTCAATTAAATGATTTTATTTTACAGACTGGGACAAGTGAATATATTGTATTGTCTAGTATCCAACTACCTGTCAAGTATAAGAGCATGAGAATTATGTGGACAGATGTTAAATTATCTGGCAAAAAAATTTCAATGTTCAAATTAGGGGTAACTCAAAACTACAAAAGTCAAATTAGGGGCAATTCTATTTTGAATCCTTGGAGAAACAGCCACAGTAGTTACACCATTTTACATTTCCATCAGCATTGCACAGTGTACAAGTTTTCTGATTTTTAAATTTTCTTTACAATCTTTTTTTTTTTTAAATTGTAGGCATTCTAATGGATGTGAGGTATTTCTTCTGTTGTTTTCTGTGGTTTTGATTCTATTTCCCTAATGAAGGAGCATCTTTGGTATTTACATTTTGGTTGTTTTGTTTTGTTTTGTTTTCATGTGTAAACTGTTCATATGCATGTCTTCTTTGGAGGAATGCCTGTTAAAGTCATCTGCCCATTTTTAATCAGATTATCTTTTTTTTTAAGTTTGGCAATTCTTTATACAGTCTAGATTTAGCCCCTTCTGGCAAATGAGATTTGCAAATATTTTATCCCATTCTGGGAGTCAATTTTTTAGTGAAAACATTCTTACTGTAAAGTGAATACATGCATCTATCTATATGTCTCTCAGAATCTCGAAGGGATGGCTGAACATCCACTTTCAGAGCAGCACTATTCACAATCACTAAAACATGCAAGCAGCCCAGGTGTGGACGATGAATGAGCATCCAAAGGCAGCCAATGTGTGCAGTCAAAGTGTTCAGCCTTGAAAGAAGGAATTCTGACAAACACTGCAACTGCAGGAGCCGCTGACACATGCTGAATGATCCAGTCACAAACAGTCAACCACTGAGGTATCCACACCAAACACATTCATAGACACAGCAGGAATGCTGGTTGCCAGGGCTCCGGGGAGAGAAGAGGAATGGAGAGTGATTGTTGATTGGATATAGAGATTCAGTTTTGCAAGATGAAAAGAATTCTCACGATGGATGGCAGGGTTGGTAATATACAAATATGAATGTATTTAGCTCCGCTGAAATAGGCAAATGTGAAGCTGGTAAATCCAATGTTCATTTTGTGATAATAAAATATTATTAACAATATTTTAAACAATAACAAATGGATAATAAATGGACTAAGAAACCAAACATTACTTTATGTACTGAAATGGGAATTTTCTCAGTTTAACTCTGTTGTCTTTTGTTGTGAAACTCCATACCCAAAGGGAAAAAAATCATATCTGGCTGCTCAATGAGTTTTGCTAATAGAAATTTCACTAACAAACACAAGTAAACACAACTAAATAAATTGATTTTGAATGTACTTACAGTCATTTCCTAGCTATAATTTTTATTTGCCTGATCTCAAAGGACAAATCAATACTACCACAATATAGCACATGCATGCATTTCCTTTAGCTTTCTATCTGTATTCAGTTACCTGGGAAACAACCTTCTCTGTAGTAGAATAATAGCTTTTTGCTTCCTTGGTGGTCGCGTGTGCTCTAACCTGAGACTGAAAAGCAGAGCGGTAGGAGCGGAAGTGGTGAAAGCAGGTCACTGGAGCTGCCTCACTGCACGCTTGGTTGTTTGTTCTTCTCTAGTGTAAACCATCCATTGTCCCAGAAGCTGAGAACCACGTGAACAAGCGGCCCAGAGGAGAAAAAGCGCCTCAATGTCCATTATGTGACAGCTGCGTGAATTTAAAGCATTACCGCAGTTTTGCAAAATGCAGCCCACGCGCTGCGGCGCTGGCTCCCAGGGGCTCCTGCACCTGCCGGGGGCTGGGGTGCGCGCCCCCAGAGCGCCGTCCGCAGGCGTCCACAGAGCTGGGGCGCCTGGGCCCGGCCGCCGCCGAGTGGATGCGCTCCCTGCTCCTTCCCAGCCCTGCGCCTCCCGCGAGCCCGGAGACCAGTAATCCTGAGCAGCTGCCATTCCACTCCTAACGGCCAGACAAGGGCCCCCGGCGGCCGGCCCACGCAATGCTCTGTCTCCTGTTCATCTTCTCAGGTCTTGGCCCGCTGGCATCCGCGGCCCCGAGTAAGTGGGGAAGGCTGTTGGCAGTTTCCCCTGCCCTTCCTCACCGCCTGGCCAGGCAGGCGGCCCCCTCCCTGCTCCACGGGCTCAGCTCGGAGCGGCTCAGGGCCCAGGTTCAGGGCCTCAGCGCCTCAGGGCCAGGGTCCGGGTCCGGCTGGGCCTGGCGCCTGGAGGCTCAGGGTACAGCTGGGTACACCTGGCCCTGCACAAGCAGGGAGGGTGGATGGGGCTGGAGACTGACAGCCCACACTGCCCCATTCAGGGCTGAGGTCAATAGCCCCAGAGTCTCCGGACAGTGGTCAGTCTCCCTTCTGGAATGAGACAGTGTGTGTGTACGCGTTATGTTTGTGTATGTGTGCATGTGTGTATGTGTATGTGTGTGTATGTATGTGTTTATCTGTGTGTATGTGTATGTGTGTATGTGAGTGTATATGTGTGTATGTGTGTATGTATCTGTGTGCATATGTATGTGCATGTGTGTATGTGTGTATATGTGTGTATATGTGTATGCGTATATGTATATATGTGTGTGTGTTATGTTTGTGTATGTGTGCATGTGTGTATGCGGGTGTATATATGTGTGTGTGTATGTATCTGTATGCATATGTATGTGTGTATGTGTATGTATGTGTGCGTGTGTATGTGCATGTGTGTATGTGCGTGTGTGTATGCATGTGTGTATGTTTGTGTGTATGCGTATATGTATATGTGTGTTATGTTTGTGTATGTGTGCATGTGTGTATGTGAGTGTATGTATGTGTATGTGTGTGTGTGTGTGTGTGTGTGTGTAGGCTTGGGTGCTAGAGTGAGGAGACATCAGAGGACTAGGGAAGTGGACGCTGCTGCCTCTGGCGGATGCTAACTGGTTTCCTTTGCTGCAGGTTCTGAAATGCCACTTCTGTACCTCACAGTGCCGCAGAGGGTTGGGGAAACCAGCAGCGATGACTATTCTTCAGAAACAAATGTAATTCCGACATCATTTTCAAAATTTTGGGGTATTTTACTTTTACTGGACTACATGGCAATAATCCACTGGTACATATCCCTTATGAAATTTAGTTTGTATTCTAAGTTATGATGCAGTGGAGTTGTTTAGTCAAAAGGAGTGCAAATGTTTGATTGAGACAGACAAAAAACATGCCCCAGGTCGCTGTAGCACAGACTACAATGTGTATTTCACTGGACTCCATTTTACTAAATGTGTCTATTTGCATATGCATTCTTATGTAAATGAGCTCATACTGACCTTGCATTATAATTTTAACATGACAGTATAAAAAGAGTATCTTCATAAGTTCTTATGTATACCTAAATCCTAGGTGATATAAAGTAATGATATTTTCAATTAGATTAAAGTCTTAAAGTATGTACATTGTCAAAGAATCTAGCACAGACCTTGTGAATGAAGTAAATATCCCCTGTGGACTTTTGGATTTTTTTTTTTGAAGATTTAATTATCTATGTGAAAGGCAGTTACTGAGAGGCAGAGAGAGAGAGAGAGAGAGACAGGGAGACAGAGAGAGAGAGAGAGAGAGGTCTTCCATCTGCTGGTTTACTCCCCAGATGGCTCAATGGAGCTGATATGAATCCAGAGGCAGGAGCTTCTTCCAGGTCTCTCACATGGGTGTGGGGGCCCAAGGACTCGGGCCATCTTCTACTGCTTTCCCAGGCCATAGCAGAGAGCTGGATCAGAAGTGGAGCAGAGAGGAATTGAATCAGAGACCATATGGGATGCCAGCACTGCAGGTAGTGGCCTTACTCTCTATGCCACAGCACTGGCCCCCACTGTGAATTCTAATTGTAGCAAGTTTAAACCAAGGGAATATCTAGCTATGCACACATGTATATTTAATTACCATATGATAGTATTCTTGGCTTTTTCATTTAATGGATACACCATCATATATTTTATGGAGAGTTTCACAAACTTTTAACATAGGTAAGGATTACAAAATCTTTTCCATTAACAAAGAATGATGATACCTATCTTCTAAACATCTGTGCTAATGTGTCCACAGAAACGTATTTTTTCAATAAAGACAAGGTAATTATTTGAAATATTTTTCTAGTTATTCTTTAGTGATTACTACTTTTTTCTAGTAATTCCTTACTGATTTTGAATTCTCTTTTCATAAGAGCAGTTCTGATTAAGACATTAGGTTTCCAAGAAAGAAGAGTTGATTTAACAATAGAAGAAAGTTTAAGAGTAATATTCAGTTGTCAATAAAAATTTTCGAGTGATCTGTATGATAGCCTCACTTTCTGGCACCAAAGGAAAAAAAATCTGAGGTTGTGTTTATTATAGCAGCTGCTACACCGAAAACATAAGTACCCATCGAGGGTAAAATGTTAAGCAGAGACAGACACAATATGCAGCTTGACCTGCATATTGTTTGATGCCCATCCACTGTTTCAAGCAATTGTGGATCAAAAATATTCAACAGACCAGGGGTTAGCTTTGTAGCTGGCTGGGTAAACCACCGCTTGTGACAATGACATCCCATATCAAGTTCAAGTCCAAGCTACCCTACTTCTGATCCAGATCTCTCTAATGCACCTGGAAGGCAGAGGATAACATCCCAAGTGGTTGGGACCCTGCTGCCCATGTGGAAGGCCCCAGTCGAGTTCCTGGCTCCTGGCTTAGGTCTGGCCCCGACCTGGCTGTTACACCATTTGGGGAGTGGACCAATGGGTGGAAGATCTCTCTGTTTCTCCCTCTTCCTTCAGCTCTACCTTTCAAATAAATAAACCCATTGAAAATTATATTTCTGTACATATAGTTACATACAGGTACATGCGATTATATAGCATTTACAATGTTTAGGCAATCTAGAGATGATTTAAAGTATAAATATTGGTTTTCCCAGTTCTGAGATGGGTTAGGACTTGTTACATTCTACTTGCTGCCATCTATGAGGCTTTTATTTAAGGGCAGATGATATGGCATAGCAAGAAGGAAAATGCAGGCAAGCATCAGAAATGTTGGCAAGAGTCACAGCGAATACAGCCAGTGAGCCTGATCCTTGTGCAGGAACATGCAGAATCTCCAGCTTCAATCAGCCATATCAGTGGGAAGAATGTGTGTTTTAGAGGAACTGACCTAAAAAGATTTCAATGACTAGTAGTCAAGACAGCCTGGTCAAATTCATTAGCACACCAGAGGGACTAGTGAAGATTTGAACCTAAAACAGCGTAATATAAATCTACTGTCTTTGTCTTAACCAAGAGTTAAACAAATTCAGACTTGAAGGCATCCCCAGAAACACAGGTAGAGTTTTTCCAATCCAGCTGGTATCCAGCTTTATGTCCACACTAAACAATGCACGCTCTTCCTAAGAATGTGAAGATCGTGCAACAAAACTAACCACAGCCAAGAAAGAACATGTAGTACAAAACTGTCTGATAAAAGTGAAGTTAAGATAGAACAAAAAGATTGGAAAATTCACTAAGGAATATTAAGGGGCATTTGTTCATGGGTTGAAGAAGAAACCAAAAGTGACCATAGGTATTGCAGAATAACAGAGAAGAATGAAGAACCTACTGATGTTTGAGTCATATTTAAAAGATTCTTAGAGGCATAACCTGTAACTAAAAATGCTTTTATTATTTGAAAAAAATCTGAACAATTTTCAATAAATGAAGATGTTAGAAAATAATTCCATCCTTAAAACTTTTAAGGATCCTATTAAAATTTAGATGGAAATAAGTAAAAGAGAAAATTAAGTTAAAATAGTTGGGATTCAGAACATCTAATTTAATTTCTGGAAAGAATACAAAAGAGAAATTTTGGTTGAGATACTACAAAAAGGAGAGGGAAAATATGTAATATTAGAAATGAGAAATACACCAAAGTATAAAAGGATAATGAAAATATAAGCCCATAACTTATAAAGAAATTGCTTACTCATGAAAACATTTAACAAAAATGACATACAATAAAATAAAGTCTTAACACTCAATGCCCTAATAAGAGAGTGAGAAATCAAAATATCTGTAATTACAGATGATGTGAGTTTGTACATGGAAAAAACTGAGAACTCCGCCAAAAAGCTGTCAGAACTGGTGAGCCAATTCAGTGAAGTTTCAAGATACAAAATCAGTAGCATTTTTATACATGAACAATTATCTTAGTCAAGGGGAAACTCAGGGAAAAAATCACATTTATAGCACCTAAAATATAAATATCTCTAATAAATACAACCAATGAATTGAAAGATCTACATAATGAAACTGTAAAACATGGATAAAAGAAATCATCACACAGTAAAATGAAATATATTTCTTGCTCATGGATTGTAAGAATTAATATCATTAATATGTACACACTGTATAAATCAATCTAAAGATTCATTGCGTTGTCTATGAAATACCAATGTCATTCTTTACATAATTAAAAATCCTAAAATTCAAGTGGAATCGGAAAAGACCCAGAATAGCCAAATCAGTGTTTAGCAAAACAATAGAAGAAAATAATAAAAGAAATCATGCTGGATGCATCAAATACCTAAAATTACAGCATTTTACACAAGGACAGTAATGAAAACAATATGTTAGTGACATGAAACCTGACACATAGATAAATGGAACAGAAAAAAGAGCCCAGAAATTAATCTATGTACATACAACCATTAATCCATGTACATATAACCGATTGATTATTGTCAAAGGCATCAGGGGAAAGAATTGTTTTTTTCAATAAATCATGCTGGTGAAACTGGAAAAACACAGGCAGAAGAATTTATTTAGATCCCTACCTCTTGGTAAATGCAAAAATCGGCTCTAGATGGATCAAAGAACTAAATGTAAGATCTGAGAACTATGAATGCAAGTATAACACATTGGGACACGCTTGAAGACATCGATGTAGGCAACGATTTTTTTGATAAGACCTCAAAATCTGAAGCAACTAAAGCAAAACAGGACAAATGGGATCAAACAAACTTAGAAGCTTCTGCACAGCAAAGCCAACAATGGAGTAGAGACACCTGACACAATGGGAGAAAATATTTGCAAGGTACTTATCTGAGGGAGGACTGCTATCCAGAATATATCAGCAACTCAGAAAACCAGAACAAAAGAGCCCATACAGTTAAGAAACACTCAAAGGATCTGAATAGGTGGTTCTCAAAAGAAGGAGTGCAATGACAACAAATAAATGAAAATAATAGTATCACTAGCCATCAGAAAAATGGAAGTAAAAAACACAATATTGGTATACCCAATCCCAACGCAGAAGTACAGGAAAAGATAAAAAGGGAGGTGGAGAGAACATATACAATATATAAAAAGCAAGGGGAAAGTTGTATTCTCTGCTATAAGACTGCATTAATAAAATCAGTGTAATTTTGCAAATCAAGTCAATGCCATTCAGATGGAAAAACTGAAAATTATCGAGAGTGTATGTGCTTTTAAGTTATGAATGGAATAAAATGAAAGAATTGCAAAATGGCTATCATTAGAAATCGCAATTGTGGGGCCTGTGTTATGGCACAGCGGGTAAAGCCGCAGCATGCAGTGCCAGCATCCCATATGGGCTGCTCCACTTCCAGTCCAGCTTTCTGCCATGTCCTGGGGAAGCGGTAGAAAATGGCCCAAGTACTTGGGCCCCTGCAACCGCCTTGGAGATCCGAAAGAAGCTCCTGGCTCCTGGCTTTGAATCGGCCCAACTCCAGCCATTGTGGCTATTTGGGCAGTGAACCAGTGGATGGAAGACCTCTCTCTCTCTCTCTTTCTGCCTCTGCCTCTATGCAACTGCCTTCCAAATAAATAAATAAATCTTTAAAAACTAAAAATAAAAATTGCAATCATGAAGAGGCTAGCACTGATGAATTAGTTTTCCACAAAATAGACTAAAGAGCAAGGATATTGCAAAGACAAATAATGATATCTTGTTATGATTACTAGTTTATTTTTTAAAAAGATTTACTTATTTATTTGAAAGGCAGAAAGTTACAAAGAGGCAGAGGTAGAGAGAGAGAGAGAGAGAGAGGTCTTCATCTGCTGGTTCACTCCCCAGAAGACCACAACCCAAGCTGTGCTGATCCAAAGGCAGGAGCCAGGAGCTTCTTCCAGGTCTCCCATGCGGGTGCAGGGGCTCAAGCACTTGAGCGATCTTCCACTGCTTTCCCAGGCCATAGCAGAGAGCTGGTTCGGAAGTGGAGCAGCCGGGACTCGAACTGGCACCCATATGAGATGCTGGCACTGCAGGTGGTGGCCTTACCCACTATGCCACAGGGCCAGCCTTGACTACTTTAATTTTTAAGAATGTATAACTGTCCTGAAAGATCTACAAGTAACAAATACATTAAAAAAAAATATGACGCTAGTAAAAGAAAACAGGGGGAACAGCTCAGGACAGTGCTCTAGATGGTAATTTTTAACGATATGTCCCCAAAAGTGCATGAAACAAAAGCCAAAATTTACAAATTTAGTTCCATTCACATAAAAACCATCTGAACAGCAGAGGAAATATTTGACAGAGTCAAAATCTATAAAACAGATGAAAATATTTGCGTAAAAACTAGTCATCTGACAAGGGAGAGGCACTGAGAATATGGGGCAGGCACTGTGGCCTAGCTGCTAGAGCTGCAGCCTGTGATGTTGGCATCCCACGTGGGTACTGGTTCATGTTCCAGCTGCTCCACTCCCAATCCAGCTCCCTATTAATGGCCTGAGAAAAGCAGAGGGACATGGCCTAAGTGCTTGGGCCCCTACTACTCACATGGGAGACCTGGAAGAAACTCTGGCTCCTGGCTTTGGCCTGGCCCAGCCCCAACATGTGTGGCTGTCTGGAAATTGACTTAGTGGATGGAAGACCTCTCTGTCTCTCTGCCTCTTTCTCTCTAGCTGTGACTTTCAAGTAAATAAATCTTAAAAAAAAAAAAAAAAGAAAAAGAAAAAGAAAAAGAAAAAAAGAGCCTTGGGTTTATTCGCATTTAAGAAATTTCTCAAAATACTCTTTGCAAATAGCTATGCACTATATGATAAAACATTAACCTCATTCAGGCAAACACAATCCAAACCACAATGGGACATCATCTTACCCTAGTTAGAACAGCTGTTCTCAGAAAAAGATAAAAAAGTACTTGTGAGAATGCGGAGAAAGAGAACTCTGATACACCAATGCAGGGATTATAAATCAGTACAGCCCTTATGGAAAACAGGATGTAGTTTTATTTTTAAAAAAATCAAATACTGGTAAGGATGTGGAGAAAAATGCACTCTAATGCACTGTTGATGGGAATTTCAACTGTTACAACCATTATGGAAGACCCATGGAGATTTTATATATCTATACTTGATCTCAGCCAAAAGGCTGAGAAGCGAGAGTTTATACTATCTGGTACAGGCCTGAAAATATATCCGAAGGAAATGAAAGCAGATCTGAGTTATCTGCGATTCCCATCTTTATAGCAGCTCAGTTCATAACAGTGAAGATATGGAACCAACCTAGATGTCCATCAGCTGACGGCTAGGTAAGGACAATGGGGTATGTGTAGATATATATATATATATATATATATATATGATGGAATATTAGTCACCAAAATGAATGAAATCATGACATTTGCAGCAAAATAGATGCAACTAGAGATCACTATGCTAAGTAGAATAAGCCAGACCCAAGACAAAAAAAAAACATGTTTTCTCTTACTTGTAGTAGTATATATGCATCTTATATGTATATAGATACATTTAGATAGATAGAAATATACTACCATAGTGCTCGCTTCAGCAGCACATATAGAAATATACTACCATAGTTCTAATGGTGTGATTATTTTAACATGTACTGTATTTGACTAAAATGGACATATTTTCATTTGATTATTGTTTATAGTCTTTGCCTATATTCCTGCTGAGCTGTGGTCATAAACACCATAATTTCCTTATCCAGTCATCAGTTGATGGACATCTGGGTTGATTCTATATCTTAGCTATTATTAATTGAGCTGTTAAGAGGAAATTCTCTATCTGTCATTTATGACCAATGTATCTGAGGTTATTATACTACACGAAATAATCTAGACAAAGATACATACTACATCTCACTTATATGATATATAAAAAAGAAATCAAGCTCATATTGACAGGGCTACTAAGGGCAGAGGGAGGTGAGTAAAAAGGAGAGATGTTGATAAAAGTGTACAAATATTCAGTTGTAAAACAGGTAAGTTCAGCACATCATATTGGCTATAGTTATTGCTTCCTTGAAATTTGGTAAGAGAGTAGATCTGTTATCATCACATGCAATAAAATGGCAACTATGTAAAGTGATAATTACATTAATTAGATTATGGCAGTCATTTCACAATGCCAATATAAAACAACATATCTTATTCTTATGTATAACTGGAATATATACACATATTTTATGTCAGTTTCCACTTAAATAATGTTGAAAAATGCCATCAAAATGGCATCTCTTCTAGAGATCTAGAGATAAAAGGAAATTCATTGTTGATTTGTGGATCAGCTTATCATGAAGAGATCATTGTATTAAATCTGTTTGTCAGTGACAGCAAGTTTTCATTTGATGGGAGGGCTTCTAAAAGTATGGGCTTAATTTCCGTGTCTGTGTCAGCCAACCCTCTAGCTGAAGTAATTCTCAAAAAGCAGAGAGGACAGGAAGACGGGGACAGCATCTGGTAGGGACTAGTTCCTCAGTCTAGACAAGGAAGCTCTGTTGTCTGACTTGGTTTTCAATTACTTGTGCTGAGAACTGCAAAGGAAGAAACAGGGTCTCAGAAACTGCTTCTTCAGTGGTTGCTCGGCATCTCTGAACATTTCCAATTCAGATCTCATTATGGCACCTAATAAATGCTAATGAGGAATACTCTAAGATTTGAAAGTTGATTTAGACATTTTGGTTTTAGTTAACTTTAATTATGACTAATTCTGTTATACATCCCAAATTTTGAGACAGGCAGGATACAGTCAATGTTATATGAAAAGAGTGCATGTGTTTCCAAATAGTGTGGAACTCTAACAATTGCTTTCTCTCTGTATACTTTGGAGCAGGTCACTTACTTACTCAAAATTAAGGAGGAAACATTCACTATTCTTCTGAAAAGACAGTAAGTGGTCATCCTTTCTTTTCAGATTATTGCGTTTAGTGTTGTCTTAAAGTTTTATAATCACTGCCTCAAATTGAACCTAAACAAAAGCGCTAATATTTTATTTACCTAATATGTTATACCTTCTTTGTGATTTAGATTGGCTCTCAACATGAGATATTAAAATCTCATAATGTAGCCAAATTTTTATCTAAGAATGGGAATATCATGCATATCTAATGAAAATAGCTCTATGTAAATCCTTAAAATATACCATGAAAGTGACAATTGGAGCATACTTTTTATGTAGCCATTTTTAATGTTTTCCATCTGCACGTATCATATTACACACCTATCTGATTTTCATCATGTTACTGGATATCGCACATGGACACACAAAAATCATTGTGGAGACTGGACCTGAGAAACTCCTGAGCCAACAAAATCGGCCAGGCCTTGAAGATGGTCCCAATCTTGCTTAAGCTGCGGACATAAGCAAAACTCACCTTGGATCATTCCTGGTAAACACTTGTGTTAGAGGAAAAGAAAACAGAGCCCCAAGCCAGCAAAAGCAGCCCCGTGGCCTATAATTGGGTGCTCAGGGAATTTCCAACAAGGTAAACCAGAATAGGAAATTTTGTACCTGTAACCAATCAAGTAATTTCTTGGTTTGACTTCCAAGCTGATCACATTAGTTCTTAGCTCCGGAGCTTCTTCTGGCTTGATGCTCCCCAATTTGTGTTTTTTTGTTTGTTTGTTTGTTTGTTTTTACCAAAAATGACTATTAACCATTTTATTGTCCCTGTTAATACAAATCACGTTTTTCCCCATTTTGTTATAAGGCATATTGTTAATCTTTTAAATTCTGTCTTTCCTACTTTGAATCTGTGTGGAAACCAGTTTTATTCAGTTCATATGTATCCTTCCATAAGTTTTTTGTCTAAATTGTATATACCACACAGAAGCCTACAAAAATGTTTGTTTTTACACAGATTTATGTAGTGCACCAGAACTGGCAGATGTGACTGGCAAATGTACACTATTTGTCATCTGAATCTAGGTATCTAGCCTAATTCATTCTTTAGTAGATAACCTCCCATAGGCTGTAATAGGATAGATAACAAGGGCATTTCCAAGGACTATCACTGTGGCCTCTGGCAATAAACATTCTTGCATGTATGCTCTTATTTGATATCAGGAAGTGTGTTTCTTGTCCAAGGAGAGGTGAAAATGACACCAACTTACAGCGAAATTAACTGACATGATTAGGCACATACTATTTTCCAGGCATATTAATTAATGACTTACATGTACTAAATGATTTAATAAATAAAATATTAAAAATTTCAGAGATTAGTGCTAATTAACTTCTGCAAAAAATGTACTCATTCAATTCTCCAAATGCAGCATGATGTCTCGAAGTATTTAATTTTAACTTGACTTTGTTTTTGCCTAAATAATTTCTCTGGGTGTTGACTGACATTTGGATTTTTCAATATGAGGCTTGTCTTTTCATATAGTTTTTCTATTACTTTATAAATGTATTTTTTTTCTATTGGAAGTGCTTAAAATGAGATGAGGGAAATTATGAGAATAATCTATATCACTAGTTTCTGGCCATGATGGGTGTACCATACATGATTGGTTCACATACTAAAAGCAAAATTACACATGGGAGTTAATAGTAAAATTGTATATGTGAAATACATGAAAACTGTTCTCTTTATATACATAAAAAATTTAAAAGTTGGAAAAAAAATCTAATTTTTTTCCTTGCCATCCCAATTAATTTCTGTCAATGAAATATTGTTCACCTTCTCAACAGAGACTTCAGAACAATTGTGTGATTGTGTGTCATAAATAAGAGTGTCAATTGTGAAATCAACAACAGGAGTCACTGTGCACTTACTCCCCATGTAGGATCTCTATCCTTAATGTGTTGTACAACGTGAATTAATGCTATAACTAGTACTCAAACAGTACTTTATACTTAGTGTTTCTGTGTGGGTGCAAACTGTTGAAATCTTTACTTAGTATATACTAAATTGAACTTCTGTATATAAAGATAATTGAAAATGAATCTTGATGTGAATGGGATGGGAGAGGGAGTGGGAGATGGGATGGTTGCAGGTGGAAGGGAGGTTATGGGGGGGGAAAGCCGCTATAATCCAAAAGTTGTACTTTGGAAACTTATATTTATTAAATAAAAGTTTAAAAAATTGTGTGATTGTATAATTATTACATGCATTCTACTAAAATAAAAGCAACTTTCACAGAGCCCGTGAGCACTGCTGTTTCAGAATGATGGTAGCAAGGAACACAGCGGAGTAAACTCCTGAAGGGAATGCTAGTGTTCTTTCAAGGCATTGAGATTGCAGAACTGTGTGTAACAGAACATGTTTCTTGAACCTTTTTTTATTTTATTTATTTGAAAGTGTTACACAGAGAGAGGAGTGCAGTGACTCTTCCTCATCACCACCAGAGAATCAGGCAGGCTGCCCACAGCTTGCCTTGGCCAAGGAGGGGAAGTGCACTGGCCCCTCAGCCTCCCCGAACCCCGGGGGACAATCAGACGTAGTGGGGAGACCAGTGGAAGCAGGATCTCACTTTATTGTAAAAGAGAGGTGTTTATATAGCTTTGGTACAGAGCAGCTATGGGCTAGGGGTGGGATGATGTGATGTAAAAGGCTCTTAGCCAATCCTATTATAACACCTCAATGATCCTTAGGCAAAAGCGCCCTGTGGCTGGGTCGTTTACCGCCAGGGATTTGAAACTTAAAGACAGGTTTTCAAATTTGAGGCAGGCTTAGAAGTTCCTCTAGGCCTCTCTGGATGCAGCCTGCCCCATAGAGGAGAGGGAGAGAGAGAGAGAGAGAGAGAGAGAGAGAGAGAGAGAGAGAAAGAGGTCTTCCATCGGCTGGTTCACTCCCCAGATGGCCACAACAGCCAGAGTTGTGCTGATCCAAAGCCAGGAGCCAGGAGCTTCTTTCGGGTCTCCAATGTGGATGCAGGGGCCCAAGGACTTGGACCATCTTCCACTGCTTTCCTAGGCCATAGCAGAGAGCTGGTCAGAAGAGGAGCCGCTGGGTCTTGAACCAGCACCCATATGGGATGCCAGCACATCAAGCCAGGGCTTTAACCTACTGCGCCACAGCGCCGGCCCCTGAACACTTTTTAAATCAAACATATGTGGGCATTTCTGCAAACACATGTTATAAATATATGCATGAATTCCACAAGTTTTTGCACTAAAATAAACTTTAGTTTCCATTATCCCATGAACTTTTTGATATTGTATGTGTGAATACAACCCATCACTGTTATCTAGAAAATGTTAACTAAGGTATTTAATGCGTGCATTTTATTGATTTTTTTTAACCTAACCTTAAACTGTTGTTAAAACCTGGAAATCCTAGCTATTACATAAATAAATCTGTGTTGGTTGAGCATTTTGAATTTATCACAGCAAATATAATAATTTAGGGTAATACTTGCTTCTTATTTTTCCTTTCAATACAAAACAGTATTGAAAAACAAGCTAGATAATAGACAAATACACTCATTTAGTTTTGGAATATTTGAGTTTGTAAAATAGAAATTAAATTTAGTTTAAATCGTTATTTTGAAGGTTATTTTTCATTGATGCTATTATTTCAATGAATTGTCTTTTTTCCTTGAATTAGGTCATTTTTACACCCACATTTCCTGGTATATTCATACAACAAATCAAAAAGCAGGTATTCAGATACTTCACTCTTAAAGGTAAGTTTTATTATCTGCTGAGCTGATTTTCATTCTTTTATGTGATAAAGTTGTCATTGTTGGGAAGAAAACAAATGCTTTATCGTCCACAAAATTATTGGGCAAACATCACAATCTCATTAAAGTGAAATTTGCTATGAATGTATATTCTTTTTCTATGTATATTTCTTTTCCATCTTAATGACAGAGAGAGAAAGAGAGAGGGGGTAGAGGGAGAAAGAGAGAGAGAGAGAGAGAGAGAGAGAGAGAGAATTAGGTCAGTTCCCAAAGGCTTGCCAAACTGGTGCTGAACCAGACCCAAACTAGGAGCCAGAAACCCAGTCAGGGCCGCCCCTGTGCACTCCTCAGCGCCCCCACCCCACCCCGGGGTGCACATTCTCAGGAAGCTGTAATCAGGAGTGGCACCAAAAAATGGAACAGAGTGATCCCAGATTTGCCCTGGCGCCCATATTTCAGCAGAAATCAGCACAAAATGCAGAAGGCGACAGTTTTCAGAAAATAAAGATAGATCAGGAAATACTTCTCTGAGAAAAAGAAAGCACAGAGGGTGAGTTCCACACGCACTTTGGCTTTCTGGGGTAACGTTCAGACCACAGGACAGGCAGGTAGAACTCTTAACAGAGAACCAGGTGGGGAGGGGCGGAGAATGAATATCTTCCATGTGCTGGCTCACTCCCCAAATGGTCACAGCAGCTGGAGCTGGGCCAGACTGAAGCCAGGAGCCTGACACTCCAACCTGGTCTCCCACATGGGTGGCAGAGGCCCAAGGACTTTAATTTTATACCGTAGTAGATTGCATTCACTGTTTTTTATGTTCAACAATCCGTGCAGTGCCACCTGCTTATAGTGTATGATCACTGTGAAGTGCTGCTGAATTCAGTTTGCTAGGAGACTATGGAGAAGGCTTGCATCTGTAAGGATCAGCGATATTGTCCTATAGTTTTCTTAGCTTGTGGCGTGTTGGTCTAGCTTTGAGGTAAGTATAAGCATGGTCTCATAAAATGAGTTTGTTGTTCATAATGTGCTCCTTCCTTTTCAAATCCTTGGAAGAATTTGAGAATTTTTGATGTTTATTCTCTAAGTGTTTTGTAGAATTAACCAGTGGAATTCCTGTTTCTGGGTTTTTAGTTGGGAAGTTTTGGTTACTGATGCCATGCCTATGCTGTTTTCAGGCCCCTAGGAATTTATTTTATTTTTTAGTCAATATTGAAATATTGTGTGTTTCTAGAAATTTGTTAATTTATCCTAGGCTGTCCATTTTGAAGGCATGTGATCATTCATAGTATTCTCTTTATTTTTTATTATTTTTTTTTTTGACAGGCAGAGTGGACAGTGAGAGAGAGAGACAGAGAGAAAGGTCTTCCTTTTGCTGTTAGTTCACCCTCCAATGGCCACCATGGCCGACGCACCACGCTGATCCGAAGGCAGGAGCCAGGTACTTATCCTGGTCTCCCATGGAGTGCAGGGCCCACGCACTTGGGCCATCCTCCACTGCACTCCCTGGCCACAGCAGAGAGCTGGCCTGGAAGAGGGGCAACCGGGACAGAATCCGGCACCCCGACCGGGACTAGAACCCGGTGGGCTGGCACCGCAGGCAGAGGATTAGCCTATTGAGCGCCAACCCATAGTATTCTCTTATAATGGTTATTTTCTCTGTGGTCTCAGTAATATTGCCTCTGCTCTGATTTCTAATTTTATTTACTTAAATCTTCTTTTTATTGCTATAGGGAAAGCTTTGTCAATTTTCATTTTAGAAAATGACTTCTCGATTTTATTGATTTTTATATTGATTTTCAGTTTGTCTCTTGTTTTTTAGTTTTATTTTTCTTTCTTTCGGCTAATGTTTGGCTTATTTTCATCTCCTTTTCTTAGCTGTTACAGGTGAAGATTAAGTTGTTTAGTTGAGATATCACTCCTTTGTTAATGTAGGTGTCTATTGCTGTAAGCTTCTTAGTTCTACTTTTGATGCATCCATCTGTTCTTGTGTGAATTGTTTCTTCGTTTTATGCTATTTTTTCTTCTCATTTGTCTTGAGGAATTTTCAAATTTGCTTTTTCCCTTCATTCTGTCGCTCAGTAGTGGCTTGCAAGTTTGTTGTTTAATTTCCATGTTTGCTAATTTTTCCTTTTTTTTTTTTTTTTTTGCTGCTGGTAATGTATAGTGTTATTCCTACGTGTTTAGAAGAAATACTTGGTAGGCTTTTAATATTCTTGATCTGTGACCTAACTCGTGAGGTCTCCAGAGGAAGAGCGATGCTTCTTTTGAGAAGAATGTTTAACCCACTGCTTTTGGGCGCAGTGTTCACTATGGTGTTCGACCTTTTGGGCAAAGATGTTACCCACCTCCTCTGCTTCCTGGCTAAAATCTGTTTGGATGTTTTGTTTGTTATTAAAGTGAGTTATTGAAGTTTCCTGTTGCTGTGGTGTCCCTACTTCTTTCAGTTTTAATTGTATAGGTTTTCTGTTACCAGGTGCCCAAATATTTATTATTGTTGATTCTTCCTGAACTGGCACTGTGGTCATTAGGAAGTGCCCTTCCTTTCCTTTCATGGCATTTTTTTAAATACTCTTAAAGTCTGTTTTATTGGATGTAAGTAAAGAAACTTCTCATCTCTTTTGGTTGTGCTTTGCATGGAATGTCTTCTTCCATCCCTTCACTTTTAGCCTGTCCATGTCCTTGAGTCTAAAGTGAGTTTCTTATAGGTATTATAGTTCAGTTTTGCTTTGTTACTCATCCACCCGGCTATGTCTTTTGATTGGGAAGTCTAAATCATTTACATCTAAAGCAATTATCATCAGTTTCTTTGTCATTCTCTGCTTGGATTTCAGTTCTACCATTAGTCTGCTTCCTCAGCCATGTTCCTTTGTATTTTATTGTTTATTTGAATTGTGCTATATTTTACTCTCTTTTGTTATATGTGTGTGTGTATATATATATATAGATTTAAAGCATGGAAGAGATAAAAGGGTGAGAGAGAGCAAAGGAGAGAAAGGATGATAAGAGATACATGTAAGTATTATTAACCTGTGGATTGCATAAAATATTCATTATAAAATATATTTTAAGCTGATAATATAATTTCCATCACTTATCAAACAAAAAACTAAACTATGACTTCTTCCACTCACACTTTTTTCTTACTGTCACACTTCACATGTTTTTTAAGCTTTGTACCTTTTAACATGTTCTAGTTATATTCATTTTATACATGTTACCTTTTAACTTTTTACTTAAATTGTTCTTTAAAAAGTGACCCACTCATCCTACAACAGTAAGAGTGTTCTTTTTCTGGTGTAGATATATTTACATTTACTAATGAGTTTCATATTTTTATTCTATCATGTTTGTATTTGGTGCCTTTTCATAACAACTTGAAAATCTTCCTTTAGCGTCCCTGTTACGGCAGACCTATAGTGATAAAGTCCCTTTTCTGTTGTTTGTCTGCTTAAATCATTTTCTACCCTTCAATTTTTAAAAAAATGTTTTATTTGAGAGAAACACAGGGCAGGGGGAGAGAGAGAGAGGAAGAGACAGAGAGAAGAGAGAGATCCTATCTACTTGTTTATTCCCCCACTGGCTTGTAATCGTTGGTGGGGTAGTGGTGAGGACGCCTGAAGTTGGGCGACTGGAACTCAGTTCGGATCTCCCATGTGGGTGGCAGGGATTCAACCATGTGAGCCATCACTGCTGCCCCCTAGCGTCTGCATTACAGGGAAGTGGATGAGGCATCAGAACCAGGCTGTGTGACGTGGGTATGGTTAAGTGGCATCTTAACTGCTAGGCCAAACGTTCACCCCTGTCCTTCGTCGATGAAAACACTTATGCTTGCATAGTTTTCTTATCTGGAAGATTTTTATGTTTGTTTTTCCTCTTAGACCTTCGAATAAATCATCCCACATTGCTCTGGCTTGTAATGTTTTATACTGAAAATTAAAAACAAAACTTCTGACAGTTCTACAAATTCTCCCTGTGTATGACAATGCACCATTGGCTTGATCTTTTCACAATTGTCTCTGATTTTGATTTTGACAGTTTCATTAAAATGCATCTGAGTGTGCATCTTATTTGGACTCTTTGACATTATTTGATATAGATATCAATTTCCTTCCTCATGTGAGAACAGAACACTCAATATTTATTCATTTTTTTAACTTTTATTTAGTAGATATAAATTTCCAAAGTACAGTTTATGGATTACAGTGGCTTCTCCCCCCCATAACTTCCCTCCCACTCGCACCCCTCCCATCTCCCGCTCCCTCTCCCATTCCATTCACATCAAGATTCATTTTCAATTATCTTTACATATAGAAAATCGATTTAGTATATATGAAGTAAAGATTTCATCAGTTTGCACCCACACAGAACATAAAGTGTAAAATACTGTTTCAGTACTAGTTATAGCATTAATTCACATTGGACAACACACTAAGGACAGATCCCACATGAGAAGTAAGTACACAGTGACTCCTGTTGTTGACTTAACAATTTGACACTCTTGTTTATGGTGTCAGTAATCTCCCTAGGCTCTAGTCATGAGTTGCCAAGGCTATGGAAGCCTCTTGAGTTCACTGACTTCGATCTTATTCAGACAAGGTCATAGTCAAAGTGGAAGTTCTCTCCTCCCCTCAGAGAAAGGTACCTCCTTCTTTGATGACCCGTTCTTTCCACTGGGATCTCACTTGCAGAGATCTTTCATTTAGGGTGTTTTTTTTTTTTTTTTTTTTTTTTTTTTTTTTTTTTTTTTTTCCAGAGTATCTCGGCTTTCCATGTGTGAAATATTCTCATGGGCTTTTCAGCCAGATCTGAATGCCTTAAGGGCTGATTCTGAGGCCAGAGTGCTGTTTAGAACATCTGCCATTCTATGAGTATGCTGTGTATCCCGCTTCCCATGTTTGATCATTCTCTCCCTTTTTTATTCTGTCAGTTAGTATTAGCAGACACTAGTCTTATTTGTGTAATCCCTTTGACTCTTAGACCTATCAGTGTGATCAATTGTGAACTGAAATTGATCACTTGGACTAGTGAGATGGCATTGGTACATGCAACCTTGATGGGATTGTATTGGAATCCCCTGGCACATTCCCAACGCCACCATTTGGGGCAAATCTGATTAAGCATGTCCCAAATTGTACATCTCCTCTCTCTCTTATTCCCACTCTTATATTTAACAGGGCTCACTTTTCAGTTAATTTTAAACACCTAAGAATAATTGTGTGTTAATTACAGAGTTCAACCAATAGTATTAACTAGAACAAAAAAATACTAAAAGGGATAAAGTATTAAATTGTACATCAACAGTCAGGACAAGGGCTGATCAAGTCACTGTTTCTCATAGTGTCCATTTCACTTCAACAGGTTTCCTTTTTGGTGCTTGGCTAGTTGTCACCGATCAGGGAGAACATATGATGTTTGTCCCTTTGAGATTGGCTTTTTTAACTTATATTTATTTAATTATTTCATTTTAAATTGTGCCACATAATTATTATATTATTACATAGAAGGGTGATTATAGCTAATAAGCTTATTGCATATATAGAAGAAGCTAGAAGAGAGGATTTTGAATGCTCTCATAATAAATAAACTATACTTAAAATTATTGCCAACCTAACTATCCTAGATAACCAGCACACAATGTATAGCGGTACTGTTAATTATTTGCAGAACATTCTCTGGTCTTTTTTCTCCTTCTGAGATTTCCACCCTCTCTGTTGACCTGTTGGTAATGTTCCATAATTTTCTCTATGAATTATTTCTTGTGGTCTGCTGTGTTTCTTTTCCTGATGTTGGTCTTTCAACCCCACCTCCCGCAGTGAATCTTTCAGTCAGTTATTGTGTTCTTTAGCTTCATTATTCCTTTGGGTGCTTTCTCTTTTTTTAAGATTTATTGATTTATTTGAAAGGCAGAGTTACAGAGAAGCAGAGGCAGAGAGAAAGTGTCTTCCATCTGCTGGTTCACTCCCCAGATGGCTGCAATAGCTGGAGCTTGGCAGATATGAAGCCAGGAATCAGGAGACTCTTCCAGGTCTCCAACATGGGTACAGGAGCCCTGGCACTTGGGCCATCTTACAGTGTCTTCTCAGGCCATTAGCAGGGAGCTGGCTTCAAAGTGGAGCAGCCAGGATTTGAACTAGTGCCCATATAGGACGCTGGGCTGCTACGCTACAATGCTGGCCCTTGGGTGCTTTTTAATATTTCAGTTTTTTTGTTGAAATTCTCCCTTTGTTCATGCAGTTTTCTCATGAGCATCTTCATGAGAGTTTAATTATCTTTCAGGTAAATCATACTTTAGGAGAGTCATTTGAATTTAGTCATGGCCTTTGGTTTATCTTTGTCCACTTCTTTATTTTGCTTGATAATCCATGCTGATATCTGTGCATGAGCTCATGTGAGCACCTTTTTCACTCTGAGTAACTGCCTACCTCCAGGAAAATTTCTCTACTCATTATCTGGACAAGGAATTCTGGCGTCTCCAGGGACTATTTCCCTCATTACGGAGAAGCGAGCAGTTGTGATTTTTGTTAGCACTCCCTGTCAGGGAGGATGTCATGTACCAGATCAAGCTACCACCTCCACTCTGCCCTGAGTGGCCAGAGGGTAACTACTTTCCAGAGCTTCAGGCTGGCAAGATACAGGCAAACTCTCTGGGCAGTCCCCATACAAGTTTTGCGTTGTGGGCCACCGATGCTGCTGGTGCAGGCAGGTTCCGTGATGTCTCTGCCTACTGCTGTGGTGCTGCTCCAGTACCTGGGTCTGTGCTCGGTGAGTGACCTGAATCTTCCTACAGACATTTGGAGTTTGGTGGAGTTTGGTTTTACACCTTCCTAGCTCACAGAAGCTTATTTTTCCTTTGTTTTTTTGTGATTTTTCAAAGGATTTTATTTTTATGTAAGTACTGTGAAATTGGTATGCTTATGGATACAAGGAGGATCCTGCACTCTTATTTGGTCAACATTTCCTGGAATACTGTTTCAACCCAAATTTCTTCCTCTTCTTCTGAATCTATGTTTAAGATCTTTGGTTATTGTTCTACAAATTCTTGAGACTCAAGGCATTTTTTTCAGTCCGTTTGTCTCCATTTTGCATACTGGGCAAATTCTTTCCTCATTCAGTGATTCTCTACTCTGTCATCTATACTATAGAGCTTATCGTATGGTTTTCGTTTCCTTCCTTTGTTCATTGCGTGTTTCAGTTTTAATATTGCCATTTGTTCTTTTATTATGACTTATGTTTCCTTATTGGATATATGTGTGTGTGTTGTGCTGTTTGTTTCTTAAAGATATATTTATTTATTTGAAAGGCATTGTTACAGAGAGAGAGACAGAGAGAGCGCACGAGCTTCCATCTGCTAGTTTACCCCCCAAATGGCCAGAAGGCCAGAGCTAGGCCAGTCAGAAGCCAGGAGCCAGGAGGTTCTTCCGGGTCTCCTACATGGGTGCAGGGGCCCAAACATTTGGGCCATCCTCTGCTGCTTTCCCAGGCTCATTAGCAAGGAGCTGGATCAGCAGTTAGGACCTGAACCAGCACCCATATGAGATACTGCACTGCAAACGGTGGCTTAACAAACACTCTGTGCCACATTGCTGGCTGCTCTGTCGTATAAGAAAATTTCTAGTTATTCATTGATGCAGCATTCTTTCAAATGCAGCTTCTTTCAAATCTGTATTTGATAGCTTTTTTCCGTCATTTTGATATTGGTATCAGTGCATTTTCTTTTCTCATATTTGTGAATTTCTCAGTCTTCCATACAAAAGGTGATTTTGATCATTTCCTGCACAAGGCAGGCACCCAGTTTAAGTTCAGGTTTCATGTTTTATGCTGTCCTCCTTTCGCAGAATTTGCCACAAAGTGGGTTGTGCTTCATCTTTTGGTCTGTGGCACCTTACATGGGTCAACTATAGGTGTAGACGTTTGAAATCAACTGAATGCTTTTCATTATAATTTAGCTGGTATTCACTACAGATATAAGAAAAATGACTGAAAAAGCAAAGAGGACAATAAAACTTGTGTATGAAAATAAAATTGCAACAGAAAGCACTTGAGTGAAGATGGCAGTCCTGATTATTCACAGACAGAGGAGTGAGAGGAAGAGATTTCAGACATTAGCAATGGATGCAAACTTCTGATGAATGATGTTAGCATAGTATCTAAGTTTGAATATTTGGTAATATCCAGGCAGGAAGGATAAAACCAAGGACATACTTTACTAGTTAATTATGAATACGTGTCTGGACTCCTTTTTAGGTTCACTGCTTTTATCAAGGACATGTAGCAGAGATTCCAAAATCATCTGTGATACTCAGCACCTGCTCTGGACTCAGGTAATTGTATGCTGGGGAGATGTGCACTGAGATAGTGTGAGCCCACAGTGTTCGGAATGCTTTTGAAGAATGGGGTGCAACAAAGAGACACATACACCGAATGCGTTTCCTTCCAAATGCTTTTTCTTTAACCTCCTTCTCCAATTCATATCCTTCCTCCTAGTTTCTTTGTAAACTAGGCTTTCAGTCTTAACATTAATGCAGAAAAAGTTCCATCTTGCATGAAGAATATATACATTTCCAAGCAACATTTAAACTGTAACCAACCCAAAGTTCCACGATAGAAGAATATAAAATTTGGTTTGCCAGCACTCTGGCCTCAGAATTAGCCCTTAAGGCATTCAGATCTGGCTAAAAAGCCCATGAGAGCATTTCAGGCATGGAAAGCCAAGACACTCTGGCAAAAAAAAAAAAAATTAATTAATTAAATGAAAGATCTCTGTGAGTGAGATCCCAAGGAAAAGAATGAGCCATCAAAAAAGGAGGTACCTTGCTCTGAAGGGAGCAGAGAACTTCCACTTTGATTTTGGCCTTGTCTAAATAATATTGGAGTTGGTAAACTCAAGAGGCTTCTATAGCCTTGGCAGCTCATGACAAGAGCCTCAGGTGATTACTGACACCATAAACAAGAGTGTCAATTGTTAAATCAACAACAGGAGTCACTGTGCACTTACTCCCCATGTAGGATCTTTGTCCTTAATGTGTTGTACTATGTGAAATAACGGTATACCCAGTACTCAAACAGTACTTTATACTTTGTGTTTCTGTGTGGGTACAAACTGTTGAAATCTTTACTTAGTATATACTAAGTTGATCTTCTGTATATAAAAATAATTGAAAATGAATCTTGATATGGATGGGATGGGAGTGGGAGTGGGAGATGGGATGGTTGCAGGTGGGAGGGAGGTTATTGGGGGGAAAAGCCACTATAATTCAAAAGTTTTACTTTGGAAATTTATATTTATTAAATAAAAGTTTAAAAAAATTTGGTTTGCAAGTTAATCCATGTAAGATGGGATGATACTCAGATTCTGGACTGCAAAGTTCCTGATGAAATCATACAAATTTTGACTATTGACTTTCACTTCTGCATGGAAAATGCCCTCGAATTGCAATTTTATTTCTTCTTCTATTTGAATATTTAGAGGATTATTGCAGTTTGATAATGTCACATATGGAATAGAACCACTAGAGTCTTCAGTTACAAATGAGCATATCCTGTATCAAATAATAATGAATGAAACTGGTTATACCTCCTTACAAGAGATTCAGCCTGTAACTCAATATGCGCAGCAGTCCTACAAGATTCTAGTCCAATCAGATGTGAGTAAATTATTTCATGTAATCTTCATTTACATCACTTCTGATAAAGTATTCATATGGATATATTATGATCTGAAACATGTGGAAAAGAAATTTAAACTGATCTTGAATAGGTTAATACTTCCAAATGTAGTGTTTTGTTTAAAAATTTTTGATGGTTATCCAGTTAATTGTTGAAAAATTGCAAGATATATTGGGGGAAAGAGAGCCTGTTGTTATGCAGTGGGTTAGAGTGCCACTTAGGGTCCCTGCTTCCCATATAGTAACAGCTGGGATCAAGTCCCAACTCTGCTTCCTATCCAGCACCTGTTCATGTGCCAAGGAGGTATCAGGTGATGGCCCAAAGTATTGGTTTTCTGCCTCCCATGTGGGACACCCAGATGGAGTTCCAGGCTTCTGACTTCAGCCTTGCACAGCCCTAACTTTTGAGATAATATGAGGAATGAATGAGCAGATGGAAATTCATTCTCTCTCTTTCTCTCTCTGATTCTGTCACCAGCCTTTCATATAAATAAGTAAAGATATAAGTAAATGATTTTAAGAAGAAAATGTAACCATCATTTATAAATGATTTATATATCATCAGACATCTCTTGACCTGTTTTCCTTGATGAAAACATTTTTATGCACATATGCATGGTTGTTTTTTCTGATTTTGCATGTGATTATTGCAATGATTTTCAGATTTCAATGCTTACAAGCATTTTTCTTTTTTTTAAAAGATTTATTTTATTTATTTGAAAGACAGGGTTACAGAGAGAGGTAGGGACAGAGAGAGAGGTCTTCCATCCACTGGTTCACTCCCCATATGGCCACAACAGCTGGAGCTGTGCCGATCCAAAGCCAAAAGCCAGGAGCCTCCTCCTGGTCTCCCATGTGGGTGCAGGGACCAAAGGCCTTGGGCCATCCTCTACTGCTTTCCCAAGCCATAGCGGAGAGCTGGATGGGAAGAGGAGCAGCTGGGAATAGAACTGGCACCCATATAAGGCCAGGGCGTTAACCCGCTGCGCCACAGCTCCGGTCCCAAGCATTTTTCTTACCTGTATATTTTCTTTGGAAAAAAAAAGTATTATTTTGATATAAAGTTTAATAGTAGAAAGAGCGCAAAACAACTTAGACATTTTCCCAAAATTTGTCTAGAGAGTGTTTGGAGAATTTTAGGTTATTTTGCCTAACCTTTTCATATATGTATTTATCAAAATAGTTTTAATATTATATAGATTTTTTAAAATAAAAATGGCCTAGTCATATGTGTTTCTTTTAGATTTTGCCATTAAAAGAGTAATGCACATTTTACAGATTGAATTATAGGTTTCTGAAGTAAACAAAATATGTGAAATATGAAATATGTGTGTAAAAAAAGGAAAAAATACAATGGGCCATAATATCATTTTCTAGAGCTAAACGTGGTCGTGGAATGTATGCTATAATTTCTGATATAATTTTGCATACTATTTCCTGCATAAACAAATGTCCTTCTAAAAGTTCATTGAAAATGGAATGAAAAGATAAAAATAAAAAAAGATGAACTTTTATTTCTTGAAGTAAGCTTCACGAAGTTCAAGAAACTTTTGTAATTAAGGATATTTAGGTAGTTTTACATCACCAAAGAATTTAGAGTCCTAAAATTTTAACCTGACAATGTAGTCTTTTTTAAATGATCACCGGAAGAAAAATGGGTGCCTTTTTTATTTTTTAAGGTAAGGAAACAGACATGAGAAAAGGCATATCAGGACTGTGAGGTGGATTTCTAATGATCTCCCCTTGAATACACACGTGCACACACACACAAGCATACACACACAAAATGGTCACAAAATTGCCTTTGTTTGATGTGAGGGAGTGAACAGAACCATGGTTATGATGCAGTAGGACTCGCAGGTGAAGATTTCTTGGCATTTTTTTCTGTTAACGCTCTGGCTAAATTTCTTAAAACTATGCTAATAAACAAGTGTTATGATTCTTTGACCTTCCCTCAAATCAAGCAATATTCCATGAGTATTCACAACATTCAAAAGAAAAAAAAAAAAAAACAACAACTATTGTGATGACCTTTGCTCTTGACTGGTCTGCTTTTGCTTTGCCTGGACCACGTCTAGGTAGACTTTGCCTAGATTGTGCTTTGTCTTGAGACTCTCATGGGTATGCCCATGTTCATCTCCTATTAGGTTTCTGGGAGAAATGCTTCGGGAACTTGATCCGACTTGTTTAAAATCTCCCTTGAAATTTTGTGGTACTCATTGTGGCAAAGATTGTGGTACTCATTGGCAAAAGGTTTGCCTCACTTTAATGTTTTAGCCATAGGGAGCTAGGCTAATTAAGATAAGCAAGATATGGTCTGTTGTTTCTGTTGTGATCTTCAATCAGGGCATGAGCAAAATTAATTTTTTTTATTTATTTGACAGGTAGAGTTATAGACAGTGAGAGAGAGAGAGAGAGACAGAGAGAAAGGTCTTCCTTCATTGGTTCACTCCCCAAATGGCCGCTATGGCCGGTGCCCAAGCAAAATTAATTTTTTAACTGAGTTGTTGTGAATGATCTGCGATTGTATTTGTCAACTTGTGATTTTGGGGTGGAATTATTCCATAAACATTTTGGAGTACATCCATTGTTTCAACAGTGTAACACTTAAGCTTCATGTTCAATTTGATATATTCTCTGGCTTCATTCATAACAAAATTCATATTACTTTTGTAGGCAATTTTTTTTTCTTTTTTTATTATTATTTTTTATTTTTGACAGGCAGAGTGGACAGTGAGAGAGAGAGACAGAGAGAAAGGTCTTCCTTTACCATTGGTTCACCCTCCAATGGCTGCTGTGGCCGGCATGCTGCGGCCGGTGCACTGTGCTGATCCGAAGCCAGGAGCCAGGTGCTTCTCCTGGTCTCCCATGCGGGTGCAGGGCCCACGCACTTGGCCCATCCTCCACTGCACTCCCTGGCCACAGCAGAGAGCTGGCCTGGAAGAGGGGCAACCAGGACAGAATCCTGCGCCCTGACCGGGACTAGAACCCAGAGTGCCGGTGCCGCAAGGCGGAGGATTAGCCTATTGAGCTGCGGCGCCGGCCTTCGTAGGCAATTTTTTTAAAGTAATGTCTTATCCTTCTTAGTGCCTCAAACTAGACCATTTTCTGTAAGTTCTGGAAAGTTATGGTGAGTTTATTTTGGAGCAAAAATTTTGAAATTGCTGCATACACAGCTTTTCGTAATATAAATCATCTTTTTCCAATGTGGAAACATAGGTTTAGAGAGATTAAAATATTATTCTAGGAAAGTAAGTGGTGGAATTAAAATTCAAAACAGATATGACCAGCCAATATAGTCTTCTTAGGCCTCCCGTGGCTTCATAAAAGTTTGTGAAAGTGCTCAGAAAATAAGCATAAGAGAATGATACAAATACTTGTAAATGACAGAGTAGGTTAATAATACAGTGGACACCGTGGTAAAATCCCAACCCGTAATAGGGAAGTGTTTGGGTTGACAAACAGATAAAAACAATGAAATGGAGAAAGCAGTGCTATAAAATGATGGCAGAGAAATACTAAAAACACTTGCTAGTTAGTTCTATGTGTCAGCTTAGCTAGTCCAGGTTACCTGCTCAATTGGCCGAATAACATTATGCCTGTTCTGAAAGAGACTGGAGGAAGCAGATTTCCCTTCCTCATGTGGGAGAACCCATCCAGTCGTGACCACGGGACTGGCCCTCCCCTGGAAAGAGGATTCTCCTGCTGCTGGCCTTTGGGCTTCAACTGAGACTGCAGCCTTGGCTCCTGCTTCTCCAGCCTCCAACCTCTGGAGGTAACATTGGCTGCTCCAGCATCTCCAGGCTGTAGGAATAGCTCCAGATGTTAAAGCAGCCAAGTTCTTGGATCACGTGAGACAACTCCTTAATAACAGTTATTTCCATATGTAGGAGCAAACTTTAAAACCTTTTGGTTGAACTGAGTTGGAAGATAACTTTATTTTGGTGCAAAAATTATTGAGATACATGCAAAGCTTTTCCATAATAATGTATGTTTCCCATGAGGTTTTAAAGACCCCTGGCATGCATGGACTTCAACATGTTCTTGAAATAAACTCACCTTTTAATTTCATTTTCCATGGACTTTTTGAAGCTTCCTCACCTACACACCTATGCATTATGTTTCTCTGGATAGCTGTTGTCCAGTATTGAAAGCTGATAATGGAAATTCAGGATGTTGAGAATTGTCATCATGAAGGAAATCATATAAAATGGATTGCAATTTAGAACAACAGAAATAGCTTTGTTGAACAAATGAGGAAATTGAAAATTTCCCAAGAAAGTCTGATGCCAATTTGCAACACCAATACGAATAACGAATACAGCAAATAATCTTATGGGTATCCTGCACTTAAATCTAATCACTCACAAAGATAGAGAAATGAATAGCCACAATGAATGAAGCCCTTACAAAGCAGTCAAACACCTCCTATCACTTCACTGTGGGACATAAAAATACTCCAAGAATTTTTATCTAGTCCGGTTGCCATTATGCTACAATAGCAGTCATGATTTTTTTTTTTTTTTTAAATCCTGAGAATCTAGAAAACCTTATAGTGGTGGCAATGCTACTTAAAGTATTAGATTGAATCTGAAATTGAATCATATATTTTTACAGATATAGTTAGAGCATAACAATCATTTCAGGAAAAAATACCGTTTTCTAAAATTTTGCACACATTCATGATGCAAAGTAGGAATATAAAGCTTCCTTGATCTGACGTGTGACAGACCTACAGCTGGCATAAAGACTGTGAGTGACTGAAGGCTTGGTACATGCTGTGGGTGACATCTTGTGTCCCCTTCCAATACACGTTGAAGCCCTCACTCTCCAGGAGAGTTTGTAGAGATGAAGCTTTGGCGTATAAGAGTTAGATTAGGTGCTGAAGGTGGCAGCCTTTCTGATGGGATTAATGCTCCCGTAAGAAGAGGAGGAGAGAGGCCAGCTCTGTGGTGTAGCGGGTAAAGCTGCCGCCTGCCAGCATCCCATATGGGCACTGGTTCAAGTCCCGGCTGCTCCACTTCCGATCCAACTCTCTGCCGTGGCCTGGGAAAGCAGTGGAAGATGGCCCAAGTCCTTGGGCCCCTGCACCCGTGTGGGAGACCTGGAAGAAGCTCCTGACTCCTGGCTCCTGGCTTCGGATCAGCACAGCTCCGGCCGTTGTGGCCAGTTGGGTAGTGAATCAGCAGATGGAAGACCTCTCTCTCTCTCTTTCTCTTTTTCTCTCTCTCACTTTCAAATAAATAAATAAATCTTTAAAAAAAAAAAAAAAAAAAAAAAGAAGAGGAGGAGAGATGGGTCCTCCATCTGTGCTGCCAGCCAAGTGAAGCAACAAGGGAACACAGCCATCTGAAAACCTCAGAAAAGTTCCCTTATCAGATCTGAGATATGCCAGCACCTTCACTTTGGAATTTCCAACCTCCAGAACTCTTCAGAAAATCTCTGCCTGCTGACCCCATGGTCTATATTTATTACTTCCAGTAGCCCAAGACAGGACAGGAAACAAGGGAAGGGTACATGGCCTCTGTTTTCTCATCCAACAGTGCAACAGGGAAAAAATGAATAATAGAGGACATGCAGTTTCCAATGGAAAAAGTAACCTTGCTTTTGTTTAGACGACTTACCTCCTGTACATGGAAAACTAAGGAATACCAGCCCAAGCAACAAGGATGAATAAGAGAGTTTAGCAATGTCACAGGAAACAAAAGAATAGGTATCATGAAGGTGTTCGTTTTTTCCCAACATGATCATTGGTGGATCCAGTACAATAGACATTAAAATCCCAGAAAATACCTTCCAGGAAATTTACTTTCAGTTGCAAAAGGAAACGCGAAGGTCCTAAAATGTTTCAGGAGTAAGAAAAGGCCAGACAGTATGTATTTCAGGCTGGGGTGGCATATGATGCATTGCATCTCCCGCATTCTGCTTTTATAGCGTGGCAACTGCACAGACAATAGGTACACGAATAGGTGTTGTTGGGTCTAATGAAGTCTTGTTTATAATAGAAGAGAGGTGTAGTTTGCTGACCTCTATCATAGAGCTATGTATGTGCTGTTAATGTTACCATAGGTATACAGAGCAGTGGAACAGAGCAGAAAGATCAGCGGTTGAACCACCAGTTACTGGTCAATTGATTTTTCACAATACAGCTAAGGACCTTCATTGCCTAAAGTTCTTTTTCTTTTTTCAAAATAATACTGTAGGAAGCATTGGCTATCCATATAGAATAAAGTGAATTAATGAACCTTACACAAAAATGATTTAAGGCATAAAAATTGTTGAATTTAATATAATTTCAGTTAGAAACTTAGTGAAAACCAAATTAACAAAGGAGTGTAAAAAAAATGATGTTCAACATCAATGATCATCAGAGAATTTCAAATAAAACCTGAAGGAGGAGTCAGCTTTCTTGATAGTGAGTTAAGCTACCGACAGGATTCCGGCATTCTGTATCAGAGTGCCTGGGACTGAGTTTGCCTCAGGTTCTGATCCAGCTTCCTCCTAATGCACACCAGAGATGGTACCAGGTAATGGCTTAGGTGTTTGAATCCTTGACACCCACACAAGAGACTCGGATGGGAGATCCTGGACCCTGACATCAGCCTGGCCCAGGCCAACCGGGTCTTGTCTGTTGCTGTGATTTGAAGAATAAGTCATCTAGTGGAAGATCTTGATCTGTCAATCACTCTTTCCTCTCTCTCTCTCTCTTTCTCTCCCCATCCCTCTCTCACTTTTCCTGTAAAATAAATAAAACTACATGAACACTTTAAAAACTCAATGAGATAATAATACAAGTCGACAAGAAAGGATAAAAAGTTTGACTTTTTCATACTGCTTTATACATTCACAATTACCATATATCTGAGATACTCAATTTCAAAGTTTTTGGCAAGAAAAATGAAATAAATATATGTGTGTATATATTTATAAAACTGTACAAACTTGCATATTCACACTTAGAAAAGCATTACATATAATTGCTAAAATATTTAAATAATCCAAATGACCATTAACAGGTTAATTTATAAAGAAATTGTGATGTGCCTCTAAAGTAGTACACTATTTACCAATGAAGATTAATAGAATATTAATAATGCCAACAGTTTGAGTGAAAGTAGCTCAATATCAAAGAGACTACTTACCATGTGATCATGTGATTCCATTTATATGAAATTCTAGGTCAGATTATTCTAACCTGGGTGGAAGAAAGAAAATTAGCAGTGGTTTTGAGCCATGTGGGCTACTGGCATCAGAGAAAGTGATGAACATGTCGCTTATCTCAATGGTGACAGTGGATGCATGGATGTTACATATCATATAACTATATACTTAAAACAGACCTGTTTTACTGAATATAAAGCTCAAAAAATATAATATAAAAAAGTTAAAGTTTAAGAACAATGAGAAGGGGCAGGCCTTGTGTGCAGAGGCTGAAGTCACTGCTTGTGTGCTGGCACCCGTGTCAGAATCCCCGGCTGAGCCCTGGCTGCTCAGCCCCTGATCCACCTTTCTGCTGATGCGCCAAGGAAGACAACTGAAGGTGCAGAGCTCAAACCCCTGCAGCCACCTGGGCTTCCAGCATGTGTCCCCTTCTCCTGGTTTTGCCCTTTCCCATGTCTGGCCTTTTTAGGCATTTGGAGAATGAACCAAGGCTGGAAGAGTCTCTCTCTCTCTTGTCTTTCTACCCCCCACATGCCTTTCAAATATATAAGTCAATTGATATTTCAAAAGAGAAAATAAAAGCAACATTTGGGAGAAGGTTGGTAGAAATGTGTTTAGCTAGGGGCTGGCGCCATGGCTCACTTGGTTAATCCTCCACCTGTGGCACCAGTTGCCCCTCTTCCAGTCCAGCTCTCTGCTGTGTCCAGGGAGTACAGTGGGGGATGGCCCAAGTGCTTGGGCCCTGCACCCACATGGGAGACCAGGAAGAAGCACCTGGCTCCTGGCTTTGGATCGGCACAGTGCCAGCCGTAGCAGCCATTTGGGGAGTGAACCAAGAGAAGGAAGACCTTTCTCTCTGTCTCTCTCACTGTCTATAACTCTACCTGTCAAATAAAAAAAAAAAAAAAAAGAAATGTGTTTAGCTTGAAGGATGGCAGGTTGTGAGTGTCCTATCAGCAATGCAGAATGTTTTGAGAGGAAGAAAACACAAGTATCTCCTTTATTTTTGTGACTTTTTGGAATCCTCATTTTCAAGAATAGAAATTAAAATACTTCTTATATGTTATAAAGACATTTGGAATATTACCTGTTTATTTATTGAGTGGGAATCCATCCTCTTGTTTTTCCATTTTTTGCTGAGTCTCTTTGTATGCTTATATACATATCAGTGTTATTATCTGTATCTGTGAGGGTGGATGAGTCTATCTCTTCTCTCTCCATCTACCTCCACATGTCTACATATAGTGCATGTGATAATTACAATGTAAGAATTCCGAAAATGTTTTGTTTAATTTATGTCCTATATTTCACAGCAAGATTCAGATATTGTCCTACCAAAAAGAACTTTGAAAATACACATCATCGTGGATAAAGCCATGGTATGCATTATTGATATATTTCATTATATGTTCACATTGAGGAAATGTGCATGATATACTTCCAATGTTTTCAATAAAGGTGCATTTTACTCTTCAAAATCGGCGTCTTAGTACATTCATGACCTAAGGATGCCATTTGCCCTTAGGCAGATATGGGGGCTTTGTAAAGAAGGATGCAATCACATCATTTCTGTTTAATGTGGTTAATCATGTCTAACATTTGCAGCTATTTATACATGTGAGTAATATAAATATACTTGTAAATGCATCATGTCACATAATCTGTACGTATTTAATATTTTAAATTAACACTATTAGCCTTTAAGATTATGCTTAAAATGAAAGAGTCATTTCATAAATCTTAATTATATTTTGGCTTCTTCATTCAAGCACTGCATTATTTTAACTTGAAACCATTTGAAGTGTGTTAGTGATTTTATCCTATGATTAAGAAACAAGCATTTGTCTTCCAGTATGATTTTATGGGATCTGACGGGGCACTTGCAGCTGAAAAAATTGTCCATATGTTTGGTGTTATTAATGCTGTAAGTATTTATGTTTCATATTTATGTAGGACATATTTTTCATTAACACAGTGATATTGTTTGAATACATTGCATTTAAATTTTTATAAAAACATAATTCTATGTGATAGTTCCATTTACCAATGGATTCAACTCCAAATAAGAGTTAACTGATTGTAGATATTACATTTGGGCATAGGGATGTAAAATTATGTAGCATTATTACATCATTTATCTTCTGTTTTCAGATTTTTTCCAAAGTCAGAATAGCTGTTATTCTGTCCTCTCTGGAGCTCTGGTCAGATGAAAATAAGATTTCAACAAATGGAAATGCTGAGGAGATACTACAAAGATTTCTGTCATGGAAACAAAAACTTCTGTCTCAAAGTCCCCAAGAAATGTCGTATTTATTGATGTAAGCACTTTGTTCAGATTGGCAGAGATTTTATCAAGTTGTTTGATATGTTATCCATCAAAATTATGTAGAGAAATGTTATTTAGAATAATATTTTTAAAAAGAAAATCGAAACATGAATACTGGGTTTGCAAAATGCAAAACAGAAAATCAGACAACCCACGTAAGATACTGTTTACTTCATACTGGGTCTTTGCTGAGTAGACCATTTACGGAAGTGCGGGGAGCTGGAAAACGTGGAGTCGGGACCATGGTGGGTCCTGCAGCTCTTCTCAGGGGAAATGACTGAAACCATCAACGTTGCATTTGGGTAAATGCAAACTACCTTACAGAGTACAGTGACTGCCTGAAGTTCTCATTATCACAGAAAGCGTTGTAACGGTAACTTCACCATCCTTGTGGTTAGGCTACTTTCTGGTATGTTCCTACTGACCTGAGGTGCACCTGTTCATCTTTCTGCATCTTTCAAGATTCTTTCTACAGATATTTGCTTTCCTTATTTAATTTTTATATTCAGAAACAGAATGGCAAAGACCTTCTGCAATATGAAACAAACATATAAATCTATTGAGGTATCAAGTGGAATCCAAAGAGCTTCTAAAGCAACAATAAAAAGGGACTAAAATGAATGTGCACACTGGCTGCATCTTGTCTGTTTCTCTTCGTGCAACTGTTGCATTTTTTTTATCTCTTTCCTTCCTCTCCTCGGATCTAACACTCTTAACATATTATTAGGGTTGGTTCGCTATGAACAAGTCAGGGCGATAAACAGCCTTTACTTTTATTTCTTGGGATTACATCCATCCAGTGAGAACAACAGTGGTATACTTTTGGTGAGGTGCTGGACAGCCCCTGCTATGTTTGGGGCTGTGTATCATAGGACATTAAGTAGCCTTTAGAACTTAACTCTTATGTCTCCTATGACTGACAGCTGAAATGGTAAATGACTTAAATCTCTAGATATGATATGCTTTACTCATATTTCTAAAGAAAGAAGAACTTTATTGCAGAATACAAACCTGTAAAACATCATTAAGTTCTCCAATACTTTAAAATGTATGTTTTCACCAGAAAAAAAAAAAAAAAACTTTCTTCTTCAGTTACAGGGACCAGGCTACTTTTGTGGGAGCAACATATCATGGAAGGCCCTGTGATCCAAAGTTTGCTGCAGGAGTTGCTATGGTATGCATTTATTCCCTTCACTTCGTTCGGAATATCTGGTTTAGAAAGTTATCATTCACATCAGTAAGCACATGTACGTTTAACACAGCACTCATACAATTTTGTCAAACTTTATTGGTTTTGATATTCTAATGATATGATTTTAAATGGATGTTCTATTGTGGGCAATACACATACATAAAACCTCCCATCTTACCATTTTAAGTGTTGAGGCCAGTAGTGAATACCTTCACGGGGTGACAAGACCTACCTCCAGGGGTTTTATAGTGCAAAGCTGAGGCTCTGTCCTAAAAACAACACCGTTTGTTATCTCTGGTAACCAACATTCTACGTTTTGTTTCCATACTTTTTTTTTTTAAAGATTTATTTATTTGAAAGAGCCACAGAGAGAGAGACAGAGAGAGAGTTCTTCCATCCACTGGTTCACTCCCCAAATGGCCACAATGGCCAGAGCTGGGCTGCTCCAAAGTCAGGAGCCAGAAACTTCTTCCTATCTCCCACTGCAGTGCAAGGTCCCAAGCACTTGGGCCGTCTTCCACTGCTTCCCCAGGCCATAGCAGAGAGCTGGATCGGAAGAGGAGCAGCTGGGACTCCAATCAGCGCCCAAATGGAATGCCAGTGCCACAGGCCGACACTTGACCTACTACACCAGAGTACTGGCTAGTTTCTTCTTTTATTTTGAGGTCCTCAAGGTATAAAGTTAGGTTGTTGATTTGAAATCGCCCTCTTTTTCAATGTGTGCATTTACACATATAAACTTAACCTCTTGTGATGTCTCACTAGTTTTTGTGTGTTTTATTTTTATTTCTATTTTTCTTTGGATTTTTGTAATTTTCAGTATTGAGTTCTTTTATTCAATGGTTGTTTAAGAATGTTTTTCGGGCCAGTGCCGCGGCTCACTAGGCTAATCCTCCGCCTTGTGGCGCCGGCACACCGGGTTCTAGTCCCGGTCGGGGCACCAGATTCTGTCCCAGTTGCCCCTCTTCCAGGCCAGCTCTCTGCTGTGGCCAGGAGTGCAGTGGAGGATGGCCCAAGTGCTTGGGCCCTGCACCCCATGGGAGACCAGGAGAAGCACCTGGCTCCTGCCATCGGATCAGCGCGGTGCGCCGGCTGCAGCAGTCATTGGATGGTGAACCAACGGAAAAGGAAGACCTTTCTCTCTGTCTCTTTCTCACTGTCCACTCTGCCTGTCAAAATAATAATAATAATAATAATAATAATAATAATAAACAACAAAGTGGCACTCCCATGTGATGCTTGCATCACTGGGGCAGCTAAATGCCCACAACACAGAAAACCCCTCTCTTCCCCAGCTCCTTTCCAGCTGCAAGCTAACAAGACACCGGGTTCTAGTCCCGGTTGGGGCGCCGGTTCTGTCCTGGTTGCCCCTCTTCCAGTCTAGCTCTCTGCTGTGGCCCGGGAAGGCAGTAGAGGATGGCCCAAGTGCTTGGGCCCTGCACCCCATGGGAGACCAGGAGGAGGCACCTGGCTCCTGGCTTCGGATCCGCGCAGCGTGCCGGCCGTGGCGGCCATTTTGGTGGTGAACCAACGGAAGGAAGACCTTTCTCTCTCTCTCTCTCTCTCACTGTCTAACTCTGCCTGTCAAAAAAAAAAAAAAAGAATTGTACCTATGAAATACATGAAATCTATTCTCTTTACATCAATAAAAATGTTTGAATAAGAAAACAAAATATCTTCAAAGATTAAAAAATCATATACATTAGTGAGTACTCAAGGTTTCCTTTTCTGAGTGGGTTCTGGTTTTATTCTGTTGGTATCGAAAACAAGTACTCTGTGTTATTTGGTATTTGTTAAATTGTTAATGAAATTTTTGTGTCCTAATTGTTCGTGCTGGAAAATATTCTGTGTGTGCTGGAGATTATTGTGTATCCTGTTATTATTGGGTAGACTATTATGCAAATGTCTTTTGTTCTAGCTTGCATATTTTATTGTAGAAACTGATCTTATTTATCCTACATCTGGTTGCTCTGGCCTTTGGTTGAAATGGAACACTGAAGCCTTCTACTACTCTTGTATTGCTTTCCGTTCTGCTTGCAATCCTTTCACGTTTCCCTCCTGAGTATAGGTGTTCTGGTTTGTGATATTCAGATGGTTATGTTCCAGGTGAACTTATCTTGTTTGTAGGTCTTTAGCTTTTTCATTTGTTTTTAAAGTAAATTTACATGTCAAACTTACAGAAATTTGTTAATGCTTGCATTTCAAAATGTTCCATACCAGATATACAGCATGAAAACAGGTATTATGAAAATAATATATATTTTAACATTACTTTGTACCCAAATAGTTATCTTTTACTTCCATTTTTTGTTAACTTTTTGAAATACCCTCATACATTCACTTTACTAATAGCTTTATAAGTTTCTTTCATAGTAAAGATTTTGCTTATCTATTTGTAAGGCAGGATGATAGAGAGATGGGGGGAGACAGAAAGAGAAATGCCTTTCATCCACTGATTCACTCCTCAAATGCTTATGACAACCAGGACTGGGCCACACCAAAGCCAGAGTCGGGATTCCGTGCAGGTCTCCCACATAGGTTTTAGAAACCTGGTTTCTTGGGCCATGACCTACTTTCTTCCAGTTGCATCAGCAGGAAGCTTTATCCAGCTGGAATGTAGCAAGCACCTTAGCTAGGCACTCCAGAAGGGGGTGCATCCATCTCAGATCTCAGATGTCAGCTTCCTCTGCTGTGCCACAATGCCCACCACCCGTGAGGATCCATAATTTTCTTGTGGTTTGGTGTTGCTATCTAATGCATTTTCTTTTTAACCTGTGAGACTTCTTTAGCATTTCTTGTAAGTCAGGCCTACAAGACACAAATTCCCAAAGATTTTGCTTATCTGGAATATTAATTTCTTCAACATTTTTGAATGACTGTTTTGTCCAAAACAACGTTCTTTGTTGAAATTCTTTATTTCAGTATTTTGACTGTGTCACTGTACTCATATCTGGCCTCAAAAATATCTGCCAAGAAATCCATGGACAATTACATGGAAGCTCTCTTATGTCACAAAGATTTTTCTCATGGTCTTTTAATTTTTAACAGTTCAGTTATAATACACATCCATGATAACCTCTTTGGGTTTATCCTAGTTGGAATTCATCAAGGTTCTTGATGCTGGTGTTCTTTATAAGCCTTGTTTCCAAAGCCTTTGGCCATTACTTCTTCAAATAAGGGCTATGCCTTGTGTTCTCTCTCTTTTTAGGACTCCAAAATACATAAATTTGTCCCCTTAATAGTGACCCATGAGACCATGGTGCCCATTTATTTTATTCAATCTTCTTTCTACTCTTTGGCATGATAATAGCAAGCAACTTTCTTCAAGTTTAAGTTTGACTGCATCTAGTAAATTCTTCAATTAATTCATTGGGTTCTTCATTTCTAGAATTTCTGTTGATTTTTTTTCAGTTTTTCTTTCATTCTTGTTGTTTATAGATTATTACTTATATGTATGGCTTGAATTCAAAAATTAACATAACCACCATTTAAATATAATGAGGAAACTCATATAATATTGCTAGATTCATGAAATAAAAAATGACCAAATCAAAAAGTGCTTTAAAAACTCTCAGCAAACTAGGAATAAAAGAGAACTTGCAAAAGAGAATTGTAACAAGCAACAATTATAACATCACACTTGTTCTGAGAAAAGAATGCTTTGCTGCTAAGATGAGGAACAAGTCAAGAACAAAGACTCTTACTCCTTTTCCACACTGTACAAAGCTCTGAAAAACTGATAGCTCCAAATTTTATAGGGATGTAGAGCCAAAAGGAATCTCATTCAATTTTCATGGAGCTATATGGGACAGACATTTTAGGAAATATTTTGACAATTTCTTGCAATACTGAATGAACTATTATCAGATGGTCTAGAAATGATCATCCTGGGTATTTACCCAATGAACTGAAAACATATCCAAGGACCTGCATGTGAATGCCTGTAGCAGCTTTACTTATAATTGTTGTAGATCACAAGTAACCGAGATGGCCTTTAATAAGTGAACCAATAAACAATAAGGTATAACCACGCAATGGAATATTAATCAGTGATTTGAAAACTTGGCCATTGGCTGGCGCCGCAGTTCAACAGGCTAATCCTCCTCCTAGCGGTGCCGGCACACCGGGTTCTAGTCCCGGTTGGGGCGCCGGATTCTGTCCCGGTTGCCCCTCTTCCAGGCCAGCTCTCTGCTGTGGCCAGGGAGTGCAGTGGAGGATGGCCCGGGTCCTTGGGCCCTGCACCCCATGGGAGACCAGGAGAAGCACCTGACTCCTGCCTTCGGATCAGCGTGGTGCACCAGCCGCGGCGGCCATTGGAGGGTGAACCAACAGAAAAGGAAGACCTTTCTCTCTGTCTCTCTCTCTCACTGTCCACTCTGCCTGTCAAAAAAAAAAAAAAAAAAGAAAAAAGAAAAAAAGAAAAAGAAAAAGAAAACTTGGCCATTAAGCCACAAAAAGATATGAAAAGCTTTATCTGTAAGTTGTTAGAAGAAGCTAATGTGAAAAAGATATATATTGTATTAACTGTATGACTTTGGGAATCAGCAATACATGGAGATAGCAAGAAGATCATTGATTTGTAAATATGTAGAGAAAGACTTTGCCATGTAGTATATATTGCTTTTCTTTGAGAAAAATTGACTCCTCAATGTTTTCATTTTCAATATTTATAATTGTTTTAGATTTAACAATGTTAACATGTTGTATATACACTTCATAACTGATTTCCAGTTAACCACTTCAGAACCTGCATGTCCATTCCAGTGTGAGCTCTTTAGAAACAATATATTTAGTTACATAAGGCTGGTAAATATAAAAATGATTGATGGTACCTGTTAGATTTAAGTTCAATCATCATAAAATGATGTCATTAATCTTTTATAATAGGTCAATGACATTTGGATAAAAAATAGTGTTGCTCAATAAGAATAATAAAATATAGTTGTTTGTTCTGTCCTCTAGACCTTTAAGAAAGCAACTAGCTTTGATATAACAATTTCTTTTTTTCTTTAAATATTTGTTTATTTATTAGACAAGTAGAGTTACAGAGAGAGAGAAGAAGAGACAGATAGAAAGATCTTCCATCCACTGGTTGATTCCCCAAATGGCCACAGTGGCCGGAGCTGTGCCTATTCAAAGCCATGAGCCAGGAGCTTCTTCCAGGTCTGCCATTTGGGTGCAGGGGCCCAAGCACTTGGGCCATCTTCTACTGCTTTCTCAGGCCACAGCAGAGAGCTGGAATGGAAGAGGAGCAGCCAAGACAAGAACCAGAGCCCACATGGGATGGCGGTGCTGCTGATGGAGGCTTAGCCCACTGCTCCACAGCACCAGCCCCGTAGAGCAGTTTCTTAAATTTGCAATTGTATCTAGGCTGTATGTCCTGAAATTGATTAGTTCAAAACAGGGCAGAAATGATGTAGGATGTAATTTTGTGTTTTTCTCTGTTTAGTATGCGAAGATGATAACTTTTGAGGCATTTTCAATTGTTATGGTACAGTTGATTGGAATTAATCTGGGATTATCATATGATAACATCTACCATTGTTACTGTCCAGGAACTACATGCATCATGAATCCTGAAGCAATGTAAGTGTTTTATATATCTTAATACAATGCTATTTGCATAAGTACTATTATACATTATATGTTATATAATATGTTGTTCTATGTAATATTAATATATAAAGATGTAAAGATTTATACACATATATATTGTATGCATTTATGATTTGTATAATTTAATACATGTGTATCTATATTATGTTTTCCCATTGGAAATGCTTCTAACTATTCCTTGATGTATAATCTCTTACAGTATTACTTGAATATGGGTATCTTTATTAATATCATAAGTGCTTATTTAAACATAGAAAATGAATTTAGGACATTGTAGAAATTGTGCTAGATAGTTCAATATTCAAACTAGATATAGAAGGAACATTCCTCAATACAATCAAAGCAATTTATGAAAAACCCACGGCCAACATCCTATTGAATGGGGAAAAGTTGGAAGCACTTCCACTGAGATCTGGTACCAGACAGGGATGCCCACTCTCACCACTGCTATTCAATATAGTTCTGGAAGTTTTAGCCAGAGACATTAGGCAAGAAAAAGAAATGAAAGGGATACAAATTGGGAAGGAAGAACTCAAACTATCCCTCTTTGCAGATGATACTATTCTTTATTTAGGGGATCCAAAGAACTCTAGTAAGAGACTATTGGAACTCACAGAAGAGTTTGGCAAAGTAGCAGGATATAAAATCAATGCACAAAAATCAACAGCCTTTGTATACACAGGCAATGCCACGGCTGAGGAAGAACTTCTAAGATCAATCCCATTCACAATAGCTACAAAAACAATCAAATACCTTGGAATAAACTTAACCAAGGACGTTAACAATCTCTACAATGAGAATTACAAAATCTTAAAGAAAGAAATAGAAGAAGACACCAAAAAATGAAAAAATCTTCCATGCTCATGGATTGGAAGAATCAATATCATCAAAATGTACATTCTCCCAAAAGCAATTTATAGATTACATGCGATACCAATCAAGATACCAAAGACCTTCTTCTCAGATCTGGAAAAAATGATGCTGAAATTCATATGGAGACACAGGAGACCTTGAATAGCTAAAGCAATCTTGTACAACAAAAACAAAGCTGAATGCATCACAATACCAGACTTCAGGACATACTACAGGGCAGTTGTTATCAAAACAGCATGGTACTGGTACAGAAACAGATGGATAGACCAATGGAACAGAATAGAAACACCAGAAATCAATCCAAGCATCTACAGCCAACTTATATTTGATCAAGAATCCAAAACCAATTCCTGGAACAAGGACAGTCTATTCAATAAATGGTGCTGGGAAAATTGGATTTCCACATACAGAAGCATGAAGCAAGACCCCTACCTTTCACCTTACACAAAAATCCACTCAACATGGATTAAAGACTTAAATCAATGACCCGACACTTTCAAATTATTACAGAGCATTGGAGAAACCCTGCAAGATATAGGTACTGGCAAAGTCTTCTTGGAAAACACCCCAGAAGCACAGGCAGTCAAAGCCAAAATTAACATTTGAGATTGCATCAAATTGAGAAGTTTCTGTACTTCAAAAGAAACAGTCAGGAAAGTGAAGAGGCAACCGACAGAATGGGAAAAAATATTTGCAAACTATGTGACAGATAAAGGGTTAATAACCAGAATCTACAAAGAGATCAGGAAACTCCACAACATCAAAACAAATAACCCAGTTAAGAGATGGGCCAAGGACCTCAATAGACATTTTTCAAAAGAGGAAATCCAAATGGCCAACAGACACATGAAAAAATGTTCAAGATCACTAGCAATCAGGGAAATGCAAATCAAAACCACAATGAGGTTTCATCTCACCCCGGTTAGAATGGCTCACATACACAAATCTACCAACAATAGATGCTGGCGAGGATGTGGGGAAAAAGGGACACTAACCCACTGTTGGTGGGAATGCAAACTGGTCAAGCCACTATGGAAGTCATTCTGGAGATTCCTCAGACACCTGAATATAACCCTACCATACAACCCAGCCATCCCATTCCTTGGAATTTACCCAAAGGAAATTAAATTGGCAAACGAAAAAAGCTGTCTGCACATTAATGTTTATTATAGCTCAATTCACAATAGCTAAGACCTGGAATCAACCCAAATGCCCATCAACAATAGACTGGATAAAGAAATTCTGGGACATGTACTCTATAGAATCCTATACAGCAGTCAAAAACAATGAAATCCGGTCAATTGCCACAAGATGGAGGAATCTGGAAAACATCTTGCTGAGTGTATTAAGCCAGTCCCAAAGAGAAAAAGAAGATTTTAAGTTTTGTTTTATTTATTTGAAAGAGTTACAGAGAGAGGTAGAGACAGAGAGAGAGGTCTTCCACCTGCTGGTTCACTCCCAAAATGGTTTCAATGGCTGGAGCTGAGCCAATCCGAAGCCAAGAGCCAGGAGCTTCTTTTATGTCTCCCACATGGGTACAGGGGCCCAAGGACTTGGGCCATCCTCTGCTGCTTTCCCAGGTGCATTAATAGGGAGTTGGATTGGAAGTGGAGTAGCCAGACTTGAACCGGTGCCCATATGCAACACTGGTGCTGCAGACTGGGTCTTTAATCTGCTGTGCCGCAAGCCAACCCTGAGAAAGAGGATGTTAATGAGAAGTGTTAGGAGCTTGCTGGAGACATTGAAAAACTTGTCAGGATAACTGCTGAAGAGATACTGGAATATTATTAAATTTGAGAACTCAACAGACCTGGAATATGGAGATCCGAGAGTGAGGGGGTTAAAAAAATAGCAATTGTAAGGAATGAAAAGAACAGTCTTTAGGCTTAGGGAAATAAAGTGAAATACTGCAAAGTTAAAATAACTTGAGTCAGGGGAAGAAGTCCAGGAGGTTATATATGAAATACAGTGAGGAGTCTGCTCTTGTTTGTATGCTGCAGGGTCTGGATCTTATGCTAATTGTAACACAACCCATTTGAATCAACCTATGAGGTATGGGTACTAACATTTTATCTTGTAAATTAATGCAATTTGAATTAGAACTGTTATGTACTATTTGAGAGATGGTGATTTTTATACTAATCTGTAATATCTGGTTAAGATTGAGAAATAAAGAAGTCAGGAGTTTTTTTTTAATGAGTTTTGGAGTATCAAAACTTAGTAACAAGTATTGGAAAAGGTCAATATTTTACGAAAGAGGAAAGTTGTGGGGAGAACTTGAATACAATTTGTACAGGTTGACTGTAGGCAACTGAGTTAGAACTGTGAAGAGGAAAGCTGATTATGTAGGCTCAATTTTTAGAGGGCAAGAGATATAAAATGCAAAAGCCAGCAGGATATGGAAGGGAATGAACACACAATTTTGAAAAAAAAAAAAGCTGTAAGATGAGAATAGTTGCCTTCGATAAAATGTTTAATACTTTTCCCATTTATAGGCTGAGTAGTTGAAGGCAAAGCAGCAACATCAGTTGAGAGCAGAAAAAAAAGAAAACTGTAGAACAAGAACCAAAACACAGTTGAGTATTACCTAGGGTGGAATAAGTTTTAAGAACAGGGAGACAGTGAAGTCATTTGGCAAATGCATCAGTGTGCTACTTTGCTCTCCAGGAACTCGTTAGCAAAATATAGAGAAATCTAGAAAAGCAAACAACAACAGCAAAGGAATAAAAATGGAAAGAAAAGCACATACTTCAATTTTCTCAAACTGTAACAAATCCTTAACACCAGCAGCTGTGGTCCATACACTAAGCAAATAAGAGCTGCATGAAGTAAGGAGTTCTTTGGTGGGAAATAGAAAAGAAAAACAAAAAGCATTAAGACCTCAAAAACCTTAAAAAATTGAGAACGCAGAAATCGTTGACTAACTTGCGTTCCTCACTGAAAGGAAATATCAGTAAGTCCATGGCATTAGAAGGGATAAAATTGGTGGGGATTTTGCAAAGTGCAAGTGAGAGCAAATGAACTGTAAACATACCTTTGTACACTGGTAAAGCAGTAATTCGTGTCCTAAACAATCTAAAAACAATGAACCATGTGTTATCCTGATCCTGACTTTTAACTGTTGCTGTCCATCAACGGGAACAGGGTCATCTTGGAAACCTGATTGATTTCAGGGCTAAGGCAGAGAAAATGCAAATGACCCTGGAATATTTTGTGTGAGAAAATAAGGAGGGAGTCAAAGATTGATGGAGGTCTGTCAAAAGGCTGCCGAACTTCATTTGGAACCAAATCTGGGCCAATTTAATTCTAAAAATCGTAACAGTAGGTTGTGTGTTATGGTACAGCAAGTTAAGCTGCTTCTTGGCAATATGTGCATGCTCTATCAGAGGGCTGATTCGAGTTCCAGATATCTACTTCCAATCCAACATCCTGCTAATGCATACACTATGAGGCAGCTGGCAATGACTCGAGTGCCTGCCTCTCACATGTGAGACCCAGACAGAGATCCAGTCTTCTGGGGTCTGCCTTGCCTGGTAACGGATATTGCAGGTATTTGGAGAGGGAACCAGTGGATGGAAGATATTCTTTCTCTCTCTCTCATGTATTCTCTCTCTCCCGCCTGCCTTTCAAGTAGATGAAAATAAATATGACTTAAAAATGATAGTGGTGATGATGTTTTACAATCCACTGCTGATAATGTAATTAGGGATCATGTTTATATTAAATCAGAGCACTCCTCTGCAAACACAAACTGGCAATGAACAATAATTTAAGAACAAAGACTGGCCAGCACTGCGGCTCACTAGGCTAATCCTCCGCCTTGCGGCGCCGGCACACGGGGTTCTAGTCCCGGTGGGGGCGCCGGATTCTGTCCTGGTTGCCCCTCTTCCAAGCCAGCTCTCTGCTGTGGCCAGGGAAGGCAGTGGAGGATGGCCCAAGTGCTTGGGCCCTGCACTCCATGGGAGACCAGGAGAAGCACCTGGTTCCTGCCATGGGATCAGCGCGATGCGCTGGCTGCAGCGTGCTGGCCGCGGCGGCCATTGGAGGGTGAACCAACGGCAAAGGAAGACCTTTCTCTCTGTCTCTCTCTCCCACTATCCACTCTGCCTGTCAAAAAATAAAAAAAATAAAAAAAAAAGAACAAAGACTAGTGGACATACACTGATTACAGTTACTTTTACAAATAATAAAATCAATAGATCAAAGCGACTTTCATCTGTCCTGCAACAAATTAAAATTGCATGCCACTTTTTAGATTGTAATGAAGCAAATGTTGTTGCCAAGGTTCCTAACCTCAATCTACTAATAAGGACATATTTCACAAATACAAATTGAGGGGACATTCTATGAACGATTGTCCAGGAGTTATAAAAACTTGCATACTCCTGGGAGCTGAAACAAAGCACTTAGGCGATTAAACTAAGGAGTCATAAGAACTAAATGCATGGGCTTATTCTCAACGGATCTGATTGTTATACAGTGGTAATATTGTGGTATTTGGGTAAATTTGAGTGACATCTGAGGATTAGATACTAGAAATGGATGATTATTTCCTGATGTTGAAAGAGAATCCATTTGTATGTCAGAAGTATATGCTGAAGTATTTGGTTGTCATATATGTGTGATGGCATCTCAACCTTTCAGGAAAGAATTTTTAGACTAAATTTACTCTGAGTTTAAGTTATTTCAAAATTAAACAAAATTCATTAAACAGTGTACTTAGTAGTATAGAAGAACAAAATGTCAAAAATTACAGTCGTTCATTCTAGAGCTTGTGTATTTTGCTCCTGGCTGATGGAATATTTTATTTATTTTGTGATTCAAGAACCAGTGATCTCAATTATTCATTAACACAATTATCCATCTTTTATACTTTATACATTTCTAGTTAAATTTATCAGTATGTTCCATTTTTGTAATAATCATTCAGGCTTCATATAATAATGATGATGTCAATAATAGGATATATTCAAATAGAGCTTATTTTAACCTCTTTACTTTCCAGATGCTTCTTATAACAAATTACAGTATAAATGAACATATGGCATTTGTTTGCGACCTATGGAATTAAAAGCGCCCTCCCATTTTCCCTGGCTGTCTTGCAGTGAAGTAGTTCAGAATTCAGTGCTTTATGGGAGAGTGTTACTGCAGTACGGGTTTTTGCTCCATTTATCTGAAGTATCTGACTTAATTTCAGACTATCCAGCGGTGTGAAGTTCTTCAGCAGCTGCAGCATGGCTGAACTGAAACAAGCAGTGTCACAGCCTGAATTTGAATGTCTTCTGGATACCAAAGTCTCATCAGTGGTTTTCCAAGGAAAAACCGGAACTTGTGGCAATGGAATTTTGGAAGGAAGAGAGCAGTGTGACTGTGGCAAACCTGAGGTGAGTCATAAACTTTATCAGGGTATCCTAAGATGTGTCTGTTTTTCTCCTGGAGTCTTAGGGAGATCCATGCAAGCTGAAAGGGAAAGACAGTCTTTAAAATGTGTATATTTTCTCAAATATAGGGGGCGTGTGAAAACTGACTCGTCCTCAGTTTGAAGCATTTGAAGGGTGTGCCTCCTGGGTGTATATGGCACGGATTATAGAAGCAGACTGCAAACATAAATAGCCTCAGTGATATCATCGTCACCTACATCATCTCCCAGATGTGGCTGTGCAGGCTCACTGAGTTAGTAGATGTGTCTCGTTACTCATCTCCTCATCTGATTTTGGAACTTTACATCTGTGGTAACTTCTTTTATTTTTATTTGGTTTACAGAATTGGTTTAACTACACTCGTTTGCTCATTATCATCGTGATGACAATACAGCATGACCAAACAATTAACACATGCAAGTCCAAAGTACTCCTTGTCCTGTATCTTATTGCCCGTTCTAGAAGTAGACACTATCCATTTTTTGTTATTATTATTACTAGTAATAGTATGCATTTTCATACATTTATAATGAGATTTCTTAGGGTTTCGTTGTACATTTTAATACTAGAACATCGTTTTCTGAGACAACTTTTTCTTCTCTTCATTTCTAAAAGTATTCATATTATTTTATGCAAGTGTTGATTCACTTTTCTGTCTAATACTCCACTCTGCATGGGGATTTAGAATTGCTAATGTTTCCAGTTTATGAGCTCTTTGTGTTTTCTAAAGAGTTTAGAAGCAATGGAACTCTGTCTTCTGCAGCAAAGTGGATGCACCTGATGCAAAGGATTTTTTTTTTAAATTAACTTACTTCAATATAAACCTCTATTAATAATTTTAGGCTTCTTAAAGATTTATTTATTTATTTTGAAATTCAGAGTTGCAACGAAAGAGGGAGGGGCGAGGTGGGGAGAGAGAGAAAGAGAGTATTTTCCATGCACTGGTTCACTCCCCAAATGGCAGCAACTGTCAGAGATGAGCAGGGAGTTTCCATGATAGGTTAACCCACTATGCCTGATGCCCACACCTAATTTCAGTTTTATAGTGTGTACTCTCACTGGTGAAAATTTTCTTTTCTCTTTAATGAAAGATGGGATTTTTTAAAATTTTCATTTTATTTTTTTCAGTATTCTCTCTGCCCAGTTGTGGGGACCCCTTTGCTACATTTCAAATCCAGTAAATTTCTCCATCGGATAGTTCCTGTCTTTTTTTTTTTTTTTTTTATAGGCAGAGTGGACGGAGAGAGACAGAGACAGAGAGAAAGGTCTTCCTTTTCCGTCTTTATCCTTTCGATTTGTATCTTTTTTAAAGATAGCTTTCATTTACTAGAACAAAGATGCCAAACAAGTTCAAGCTAGTAAAATTTATCTGAGCCAACAGCGACTCACTCTGAGCCAGTCATCACTCTGAGCCAGGAGCAGCCCAGGGAGCTCCACCCAGCAACCAAGCAGCAGTATTTATAGACAGGAAAATAGGTGGTGTACAGAGAAAGCCTGATTGATTACAATCAGCCCACAGCTTTCCTTATCTGGTCCTGGTGCGATAAAGCCATTGCCTTGGGAAGACAGGGTGTGAGCAGTGGTCAGCTGCTGTGATCGGCTGAGACTTGGGCTGCTTGTCCTGAGAGTATCCTCTTCAACCACGGGGCAGTTTGTTTGCATGTTAGGTAAGGTTGCAGTTCGATACTTGCCCAGGCACAAAGTACACGGGCAACTTGGAACAAATTTAGTTGAATTTTATGCCACTCTCTGTCACCTTCACAATGAACATGTTCGCTTCAAAAGGGAGTCCACAATTCATGACATAGGTTACTTGAGTGTTCTTTTTGTTCCCTTCGTGTTTTCATTATTGAAATCCCAGTGAGACCATTCGAGTGTAATGGGTAGTTACATATAAGTATGTTAGAATCTTGAGAGCTACATTACACAAGGGACCCTGTTATGACCCATCAATGGTGTATACTCCTTAATTGGAGTCCCATATATTGAACCTATCAAAATCAATTACATCAAAAATGAACTAGAAGAGGAAACTGCTTATGCTTGTGAGAAAGTGTATTTGTTGATTTCTGGCAACTCAGTTCCTCCCACATTGGATGTATTTACAAAAGATGTTGGCTGTCACATACAGCGCCCTCGGTTCATCCATGGGTGGTCTAAGGCAAACATGTCATCTAAAACAACTTTAGCAGGTGAACATAAAAAAACTTTGGCAAATACCCATGGCTTACTCAGTAGAGTCATTGTAGTAAATGTTAGAGAAACATCTCTAATTATAACCTCATTTATATTTATGCTAATTAAAAGGAAAATCCTTCTACAAAAGGATACCCATTCATAAAGATTCCATTTGACTTTATTTTTAGTTTTAAAGATTTATTTTATTTATTTGAAAGAGTTACAGAGAGGGGGATTAAGAAAGAGAGGTCTTCCATCTACTGGTTCACTCCCTAAATGGTCACAATGGCCTGAGCCAGGAGCTTCATCTGAGCCCCCCACATTGGTGAAAGGGCCCAAGCCCTTGGGCCATCCTCTAATACTGCTTTCCCAGGAACATTAGTAGGGAACTAGATCTGAAGTGAGGCAGCCAGGACTTAAACTGATGCCCAGATGGGAAACCAGTGTCACATGTGGTGGCTTAACCTTCTATACCACAACACCAGCCCCATCCATTCATAAGCATTTACACCTGATGGAAAATTCACCTTTGCTTCATAGTTCATTTTATTAGGTACAGTCTCAACTTCACTTGCCAATTGTTTATGGATTGGCAGTGGTATAACTAGAATCCTTGCTCCAAATTGGTTCCTTGTATTACATTTATTGAAACATGGAATTACCAATATATATGGCTGTTCTTTATATCTGTTTATCCACAGATCAATAAAGATAGGGGAGGGGCATATTTGGCATTTCCCTCTGGGTTGCCTTGTTAGGAGTCACCAGCATGGAATCTCAGATTTGTCTTGGGATCCATTATTGAAATAGTGCACAGTGGGAGGCTATTGAAAATGAAGGGATCACAACATGGGAAGCGGGATACACAGCAAACTCATAGAGTGATAGATGTCCTAAACAGCACTCTGACCTCAGAATCAGCCCTTAAGGCATTCGGATCTGGCTGAAAAGCCCATGAGAGTATTTCAGGCATGGAAAGCCAAGACACTCTGGAAAAAAATTATAAAGCACATAAAAAAAAAAAAAAAAAATCAATCTGCAAGTGAGATCCCAGTGGAAAGAACGGGGCCATCAAAGAAGGAGGTACCTTTCTCTGAAGGGAGGAGAGAACTTCCACTTTGGCTATGACCCTGTCGGAATAAGAGCCAAGTTGGCGAACCCAAAAGGCTTCCATAGCCTTGGCAACTCATGACAAGAGCCTAGGGAGATTACTGACACCATAAACAAGAGTGTCAAATTGTTAAGTCAACAGGAGTCACTGTGTACTTACTCCTCATGTGGGATCTGTCCTTAATGTGTTGTCCAATGTGAATTAATGTTATAATTAGTACTGAAACAGTATTTTACACTTTATGTTCTGTGTGGGTGCAAACTGATGAAATCTTTACTTAATATGTACTAAATCGATCTTCTATATATAAAGATAATTGGAAATGAATCTTGATGTGAATGGAATGGGAGAGGGAGCGGGAGATGGGAGGAGTGTGAGTGGGAGGGAAGTTATGGGGGGGGAGCCATTGTAATCCATAAACTGTACTTTGGAAATTTATATCTACTAAATAAAAGTTAAAAAAAAAGAAAATGAAGGGATCAGAGTTATACATTCATATGCAAATTGCTGAAGAATCTTTCTTTTGGTTTTCTTGTGCATTTTTTTGGCATAAATTTAAAACCTTCAGATAGGTTTCAGCTACCATTAGATTTAAGCAAATAACCTGAATACATGGAATTTGAAATAAGCAAAGCTTACATCAAGGACCAGATAATGGACTTTGCATATTGGGGAAACCGGTTACAAGGTTAATTAGAGAATTCCTCGTGACATATTCGGCATTGTTATTTCCAAGTGAAAGTGATAAAGTGCAAAGTCTTACTTATTGCATTTTTTTTTTTGCCATGATCAAATAATAAAGAAACACAATGAAAGGAAGAGAGAGGATGAGGTTTCATGGTGGCAGAAGAGAGAGGGCTTGTCCAATGATTTTCAGAAAATCAACACGTCTCCAGGATATCATTTGCCTTGAAGAGAAACTTTCCTAGTCACAGTTAAACTTTGAGCTCTCCAGTGATAGCTGGGCCCAAGAGTGGGGAGGGGCCATGAGATGTTGATCTAAGACCTGAGGCTGTGAAGTTTTGCAACAAACAACTTGGTATGTTGTTTTCCATTGGAGTTCGGAGCCAGTGTTTCCCAGTGTCATTTCCAGAAGACCCTTCTCTGAGTTCTTAGGTACTAGAAAATCTGGCTATAGGCAGTTGGGTCACCAAGGCCTCATTATATTGTGAAAATGTACTTTTGCCTAACACGTAAAAGCTTTCCAGGGTTGAGTCTGTGAGAAGCACAGATTCTAAGTGGTTCTCCTTTTCGTAGCATAGACCCTTTAGAAACCACACTGCTGCGGTTTCAACCTGTGTTTTCCATTGGAGGTATTGTGATTGCCATCAACAGCTGAGGTTAACACCCTTGACCAAGATGATCCACCCAGTTAGGATAGCTCTGGCTCCTACTATTTTGTTAGCAATAACTCATTTAACGGTTTTGTAACTTATCATGTGAACTTGAACTTCAAGAAATATATATTCTCAGCAATGCCCCACGTGGGAAATACATTTTCTAATTACCTTTAAGTTACAGTTAAGCCATCAACCATCCTGCATGGAAAAGCCTCTACAGAACCAAAACCAAACAGCAAAGGTGGCAATTCATTGACATCCATCTTTAAGTTCTCGAGTGATCTAGCAAGGGTGGGAAAGTTATTACCTGCCATATTTATTGTCTTGCCGGAATT